ATGTAGGAAGATTCTAAAAACTGTTTGGTACCCTTGACGGTTCGTGGCTTGTCCTCTTGCCGGCAAGCAATGTATAAACAAGCAGCCAAAAGAGCATCCTGATTTCTTCCTCTGCTTGACTTCTGATCTTCTACTCTTTTATATATCTCGTTGGCTCGGTCCTTTCATCAAAGAATGGTTGCACGAAAACCAATTAACAACTTAACAAAACTGAAAACATTTCTCAAGCAGAAGCCATAAGATTGGTAAGAGAAAGAGAATACCTTGATGGTCGCAACAAGGCCCAACCTGGAGAAACACAAGGTTCATCAAATTTGTTAATTGCCTTTCTCATTGAACCGAATCGATTATCGTATTAAGCCAAGTACTGAGAGGCATTGCACAGATAATTTTCCCCATTACATCTCCCATAATAGTGAAAAAGGTGCAGCTTTTAGTGACAAACAGTTGCTTATAAGACATTCATCTACATCGAGCTTCTAGAAACTAAAGTTCTCAAATTTTCAGACTTAAAAAGCCAACAAATTCGGATCCGAGGAATAAGACTGAGAATTGCGAGGCGTTTCTGTTTAGTTGAAATTGAGCTTTGAGCTAACATAGAATCGCAAAAACCTACCTATCAGCCATGGTGGCGATTGTCTTAAACGCGACAATGAGCCCACGATCAGGGTTAGATCCACGATTCTGCCATCGACCAAGGGAAGATGAGAGGAAATCTCCAGAGGATCCATTAGGTTTCGAAATTACGGTGGTGAGACCACCATCGGCAAGAAGAGGATTCGTCGGACCACCGACACGAACGGGATCATTATCGCCGGACTCGTTCGCGAAAGTACGCCACTCGGAGGTTTCGTCAATAGAGTGAGATTCGAGCACAAGCCCACACTCGGAGCAAACTGTATCTCCGGCGGAATGGTCGAACACAACCTCCGTCTGTCTCTTACAGTCGGAACAAAATGCGTCACTCATTGCTTGTCTCTTTTCAATTAAAACCCTGAAAGCCCCTTTTTTTCAATTAATTGGACTATAGTTACGAAGAATCACCACTTTCCCTTCTTCCTCGTCGCGCCTTTTGAGCTTTCTTCTTCGATAATTTCTCTTCTCTCCAAAATGTCGGAAATGCGATGTGATCGACTCAGGACGTCTTATGATGATCCAACGGCTGTTGATGAGTTCTTGGAATTGGACAACGCAAACATGTTTTTGTGAGTTTGGTCGGACACATAAATGGATAATAAGATAATAGGGCTTTTAAACAAACCTGGCCCAACATTTTGAAGCCCTCAATTGTTTTTTGGTCTGCTACTTAACACAGATCGTTCTCAAAAAAAAAAAAAAAAAAACAAACAATTAACACGCATAAGACTCAACACATTAACACATATACCAATTAATTATTTGATTCGGAAATGTGAGTAAAGATCGCATAATCCGAATTAAAATGCACGGAACGAGTCTCCATGCCGTCATAATAATAATTGACTTTTATGAGCTGTACCCTAAACTAAGCTAAGAATTCATGAGTTTTGTTTTCTTATGAACAACTAAATCAAAAACTGCGATATAAAAGTTATGGTTATGTCATAAATTAAAAATCATATTTATTTATCCAGCAAACTCAAATTGACATACGAACTAACACATGTACGCAAATGATTATGACAAGTAATTTATGTCTTAAACATAGTATTAATAAAACCTTTTGATTTTGGTCGATACCCATTGTGGATCTCTCCTCTAGCTAGTTCTCTTTCTTTGGTAGTCTTTTATATAGTGTTTTAATTTATTCATACGTATATACGTATTATTATAATTTTCTAGATGAGGAAAGGCTGTATAGTTCCGGAGACTATTATTAGAAGAGTTATCGTCACCACAGTATTCTTCTTCTCACCGCATGCTCACAGTTTTTGCGATCTTTCAAGTAACATCAACAAGACAAAAAATTTAGTTAGAAAATCGCCGGTCATCTGTATGTATTATTCGTAGCAAAAAAATCTGAATGTATTATGACTTGCTCTTGAATAGCTCGTCTTAAAGTGGATATGGCTTAACTTTGCAAATCCCAATAAAGAAAAATCACTTTGCGTACTTATACTGCAGTTCATCAAATCAATTTTTTTCTTAACAAAGAATCATAACTTTTAAAAATATTTAAACATGAGTTGTTTCAACATAAAGGTAAAAGTTATACGAGGGTCAAGGGCGATCAAATATACACGCCAAATCCAATAGTGTCAAACTTTGGTAAAATATTGGCACCACCATCTTTTTTTTTCTCATTCCGTAAGATACATACGTTTTTATATGACAGTTATATATACACACTCTTTTCTCCTTTTAAATTAAAACTCTCTTGCTAATTTTTTATTGTCAGTGAATTTTAGATCTTAGACCTTTACATCACTTCGAACCTGGTCTAAAGTGGATCGCAATACTTTAATCTGACGTTAGCAATTTCTACATAAAACTTAATCGAGACATGAATTTAGATTACAATTAGTAGATAAAATATATTTTCAAGCTGTTTTTCATTCTTATTCTGAAATTTTCGTCTACCAACTTTTTTTTGGGTTTTGGATAAACTCCTTGGATTTGGTTATTAGTGGGAATTATAATCCCAATAAATTCCACTAAACGATTTATATCGAATATTAGTGCAACAGAAGGCAACTGAAGTATTACGCTACAAATATATGATTTTTTTCTGTATTTTTGGTACTTATTGGAATATGACATGTTGTATGTATTTGACCATTAAGAACACCTCCATTGGCTATCTGATAATATCTCTCTTTGACATGAACATGACATTTGCTTTTTAAATTAAATAATGTCCAATAATTTGAATTTCTTTATTCTTAATGAGTCATCCCTATGAGTAGATTGGTCTCATCATTTATTTGAATCTATAATTTAATCCATTTAAAAAAACAACTACTCTGTTCTGTTCCGATGGCATTATGATATGACAACTTCTTTGTTGGACTTTTCTGAGTTGAAGTTTGAACCATAAAACTAGTTTTGGGTCATGCAGTCTTTTACACTCCCAAAAGAAAATAATATAGTTTCGGTTCAACCCACATAATTGTTAGTCTACAATTAAAGATTACAATTAGCTGGGACTCAGATCATAACATTGCAGCATGCCACATAGGCACATAGAATACTTTACTTTGTGAGTCAGATCAATGAGCAGAGAAAATAGTCAGAAACATGTATTCCATATAAGGAAGGTTAATATGTCATTGATGGGATGATTTCAACAAAAGACGAGTATATTTTATAATGATTTAGGTAATTTACCAAACATGATTTAAGGAAAAGGAATCTTGTCATGCAAGCAACATATAAGGGCAACTCAAAGATGAATGATGGGTTTGGCCAAAGTCCCTTTCTCGTTCTCCCACACGTCTCCTCATTCCTCTTTCTCTATTTCGAAGAAGAGAGAAGACACCTCAATACTTTTTAGTATGTTTCTCTCTCTCCTATACAATACCAACAAACGCATTTCTTTTTCTCTTTTCAATAGAATAGTATGCTAATGTCTCTGTCGTCTTAAAATATATGATACTCTGTTTTCAAAGGAAAACCTTACAACATTACTCAGAAAACGTCTCTCCCTCTCCCTCTCTACTCTCTCTCCTCTGCTTTTTCTCCCTCTGTACGTAGCCAAGGCGCTAGAGATAGCTAGAAATTCCTCAAGTTTATGGTGAGGCAGAGTCGGAAGAAAATAGAACAGATCAAAGAAGACGAACCTATGAAGGTGTGTCCTTATGTCTTCAGGTTGAATAAATCTTCTGGGAATAGCAAAAAGAGATCGAAGCCTAAGATTATCTATCTTCTTCTCTTCTCTCTTATCTCAAGTTGCTTCGTCTTTGCTCCTCACCTCTTTTATTTCCCTTACCCCTCTGCTCTGTGTCTCATCGGTACGATTTTTTTCTATCTTGTACTACAAGTAAATCACTTGTTTCTTTTTTTTGCTGTTTTTGTTATTCTAAACTACTTTCAGTTACATGTTTTTGCAGATTCTTCAATCAAAGAGATTGAAGACCAGGTTTCCCAGACCAATACAGAACCTCCCAAACCGTCGATAATTGGTTAGTAGTAACTTAATCCTCTGTTTCGTAATTTTCTTGAAACACCAAGCAAATGGATTCTTAGTGTTTCTTCTGTGGTGATTATGCAGAAGAGAGCATATTATGTGACAGAGCTGGTTATCGTTCCGACATCTGTTTCATGAAAGGCGACATCAGAACACATTCTCCTTCTTCCTCCATCTTCCTCTTTACCTCGAATGATATCATCACCGATCATGTCATGCAAGAACAAATCAAACCATACACCAGAAAATGGGAAACTAGCATAATGGAAACCATACGGGAAGTCAAACTTGTGACAAAAGATGTGAAGAAGCTTTTCGGAGATAAGCATAGCTGCCAAGTGATCCATGAAGTACCCGCCGTGTTATTCTCTACCGGAGGATATACCGGAAACCTCTATCATGAGTTCAACGACGGGCTTATTCCTTTGTATATTACATCTAAACGTTTCAACAAAAAGGTTATCTTTGTGATTTCGGAGTATCACAAGTGGTGGGAGATGAAGTATGGAGATGTTCTCTCTCAGCTCTCTGATTATCCTCTTATTGATTTCACCAAAGACAAGAGAACTCACTGCTTCAAAGAAGCAATTGTTGGTCTTAGAATCCATGGTGAGTTATCTGTGGATCCTTCTCTGGTGCAAGATGATACAACAACCATCAATGAGTTCAGGAACCTACTTGATCGAGCTTACAGACCCCGAATCAACAGGCTGGAAAGCACAGAGGAGCATCGGTTCCACTCAAAAGCAGCAAAGAGAAGAAGAATGGCTAATAGACCAAAACTAGTCTTGTTTTCAAGAACCGGGTCTCGAGCGATAACAAACGAGGATCTGATGGTGAAGTTGGCTCAGAGGATCGGGTTTCAAGTCGAGGTTCTGAGACCTGACAGAAAAACGGAACTGGCAAAGATTTACAAAGTGGTTAACTCAAGCCATGTTATGGTTGGGGTACATGGTGCAGCCATGACTCATTTTCTGTTCATGAAACCTGGAAGTGTCTTTATTCAAATCATTCCATTGGGGACAGATTGGGCAGCAGAGACATATTATGGAGAACCGGCAAAGAAGCTCGGTCTAGACTACATTGGTTATAAGATTCTTCAAAGAGAGAGCTCACTGTATGACAAATATGATAAAAATGATCCGGTTTTAAGAGACCCAAACAGCATCACTCAGAAAGGATGGCAATTCACAAAGGGGATATACTTAACCAACCAGCAAGTGAGGTTAGATCTCCGGAGATTCAAGAAGATTTTGATTGATGCATATTCAAAATCGATTAGCTGACCTGTAATGGTTTTTACAAGTTGTTGTTGTAACTGTATAGTCCGCACAACTACAAAAATACAGAATTTTTTGTAAAGATTTAAAACGAAACCGTGACATAAATGAATTCAATGTTTCAGAGACACAAACAACAACACTGTTAAGAATGGCTTAAACAAGAAGCATCTATGTTACAGTCAGAGCCAGTGGATGCATTATATATTTTTTTTTAACTTTAAATGAATATCAGAGAATAACAACAAAAGAATAACAATAACAAATTTGCACATGAAAAACACAACAAAAATTTTGTTTTGATTTGTTGTAATTTGATTATAAGTTACTGCATTCATCAAACAAGATAGTCTATATATGATGAATACTTTCAAAGCATTTTCAATTATTTTAGAAAAAAATTATTATCATGTAACCTACAAATAATTAGTTTTATAGAAAATATGATTTCATAAATTTAATTGTGCTAATTTGTTTAAAAGAGTTAGTTTTCAAATCTTGTGTATAAATGATAAAGGTGTAAGGAAGAAAACATTTTTTTTTGTATTTGTATATATTAACTTTTAGATATGCTAGTATTATGTGTGATATTTTTACATATTGATCGATTTAACATCTAAAATTTATAAATGAATATAAGTGATTTTAATAGAAAAAGGTAATTAATTCCATTGGGCCACCAAATTTTAAAGGATAAAACTCAACTACAACATATAAAAAAAATTGATCAAATTAAGTAACTGAACAAAGGGTAAACAATTAATGGGGCAACTATATTATTTGATATGGAAGCAATAATTGTTATCCTTAAAAACTTACACTAATTGTTTTTTTTTTTTTACTGAGTTTCTTATTTACTCTTGAGAAAAAAGAAATTACATCCTATTGAATGGAATTTGAATTGAGAGATGCTGAAAAGAAGACTTCAGTGAGAAACTTTGCTTCGCCCAAATGAAGAAAACGTGTTATTCTTCAATAGTCTCTAGGCCCATTTCTTCCCTATCTTTGATGATGAACGCATAGGTGGTGGTGTCTTTGCATTTCTTGCACCATTTACACCTATAGGCAAAAGAGCTTAGATATTGGTTTTGTTCAGATGATAAAGCGTAAAGAGACTCAGACTACTGAACTTATGGTAAGATCTTTCTAACCATTCTCAATCGGATTCTCTCCTATGGATGATCTACGTGATCTTTCTGGTCCTGATGGCATCACACCTGTTAGTGATTGCCTGCGCAATGTCTTAGCGTTGCTTGTGTGTGGTGACTTTATACCACTGAAATTATTTGAGACTCCAAGCGGTGACCGTGGATCTACAGGAATGTTCTCTTTTCTGTGGTAACAAAAAAGGCTTTCAATGCATTATGTTATCATGCAGACTGGAAAAAAAAACGTTAAGTCTTTGTCATACCTCTTCTCTGAACCATTGATCAGCTTTCCGATAGTCCTCAGTGACTTCCGTATATGTGAACCTTTTCCATTTGTCCTAGAATCCACAGAAATGATCTGTATCTCATTTCTGGAAGCTCCTTTAACTGGTGTCTGCAATAGCTGGAGCTGAGGAATGCTTGTTCTGCTATCTACTTTAACTGCTCTGTTTTGATAAGAGCTTGGAGGACTCCGTGGGTTCTTGAGCGGGTGCACTTCCATGGTGGGATCTCCTTTACACTGTCCTTCGTTTTTACACGACTTTGGACCTTCCAAACTCAATCTTCTTGCACGGCGAGAGGCCAGAGGTGATTTAACAACTTTTCTTTCTTCAAGGTTTGCCTTTGTGTTGCTACAGTTTTCGATGCTTAACCTTCTGAGACGTGGAGGAGTTCTCTCTGTTGTTGCTATCGGCCTGCTCAACGGAGATTTTATCTCCTTCGCTCCACTGTAGGAAACATTATTCCATTCTTCGGTACCCAAAGCCTTCTTCAGGTTTTCGATCTGAAAGAACCATAATGTTTGTTGACTCACAAAATCTGATATCAAACAGTAAACGAATTTCGTTTTGTAAACCATGATCAATCTCTACAAACCTGTTCCTTGAGATGCATGACCTCTCTAGTCTCTTTGTGTGCACGAGCAGCTCCAAGTTCGACTGTTGATACTCTTTGTGCGAATTTTAAAGTACTAATTGTTTCCCCGAAGGAGTCCTCCTCAGGACTCAGATGTGCAAACATCAACGTTTTGGCCTGTCCTCCTGAAATAAGACATGACATAAAGGCATTGAATATCTTTTGTTCATAAATATAGACGAGGAAGGAATCTTGGCTAGAAAATACCAAGTGAGTCTTGTAGTAAGAGAGTCAGCTTGCTGTTTCGGTATGGGATGTGAGAATTCTTCTGAGCCAATGCGAAAATCACATCTCCAAGACAAGAAAGTGATTTGTTGATATACTGTGCTTCCTTGAGCCTGTCTCCTGTAACCTCTGATTTATCAACTCTCTCGCTCCCTGCAAGATCCACCAGATGCAAGCAACTCCGTAGAGTACCACCAGATGTATCTTTCCCACGTACGTGCACCAAAAGAATACTACAAAAAGACAACGAATTTAGAATACTATAGCTGTAATTCTAAAAGCGTCTAGTTTTGAGTTATGTAGGAGAACCTGTGTGACCGACTACTGCGATTGTTCAGGGATGTGGAACTAACAGCACGGTTCACCTCACCAGCCTCCATTAGCTGAATGACATCCATGGTGGAATTCACAGAATGCATTGTAGCATCTGGAAGACTCAAGCCATCATCCTCTGAGCAAGTCCGAATCTCTAATGTTTATATAGTCAAGAAGAACACTAGGTAGATCTATGTGAAACAGATAAACTAAAAAAATAAAAATGAAAATTTCATCAGTCATGAAAGGATATTTGGTGCAGGAGGAGTTTGCTGCAAGAAGGTCTCTGACTTGTTCATTGTAGATTTCGACCATTTGGACGTATATCTCATATGTCATCATGTCCCTTCTTTTATCACATATGAGAAATAGATCTCTCAGAGCTAGATAGTTAATTCCCATTTCATTAGCTGATCTGCCTGGAGGTCCACTCTGCATCGGGAAATATAATAAGTTACTATAAGTCTAGAAAGGCAAGGAAATCTGACAAAACTTTTTAGACTAGTCTCACCATTGTGTATGTTTTCCCTGATCCTGTTTGTCCGTAAGCAAAAATGCAGACATTGTAACCATCCATCACTGATCTGATTAACGGTTGTGTTTCTCTGAATACATCATCTGTACACATGTAGACACAAGTTTCAAATATTATTCTACTAAGCCAAATAAGTGTAACAAGCTTACATCCTTTGATTAATTGCAAATTTACCTTGAGTTGTTGTCGGACCAAATACTTGATTGAACTGAAACGTTTTTCTTGCATCTTTTTGAGGCTTTGATGGATCCACGACAAACAAAGATCCATCTTTTCCTATGTAATCTATTACTCCTTTCATTTCACTATTGAATATCGGTCTAACTCTGCAGTAAACTCTAATATTTCCTGCAGTATTTTAGACATGGCGTTATAGCATCTATGAAAAAAGCAAAACTTGTGTTAACTGTTTTCTACCTTTAAGATCTTGCACCATGTTATATAGCTTTCGGTTCTCTTCCACCACTTTGTAATATCCTTGAGCAGCTGATGACATCTCTTGCATCTGATTCCCTGTGCATAAGAAGCATACGACATAGTTAATTGTATTTGTAACGAGAAAATGAGATTGTAATCAAAGATGGAATACTGACAGCTTTCTTCTGAGGGGATAAAAAAGGAGACTTCAGATAATAAACTAACCTAGTTCCATCAGATCTCTTTGCAAATGAACCTGAAATTCCTTAAAATCCTGCTTCGTTTTTATAAACAAAGTCTTGAGAACCTGAAAAAAAGAAGCATACCTGGATTAGAACACAGATTACAGACATATAAGAATTGAAAGTTAAGAGAATTTGTCAAAAGGCATGCCATAAGTATATTGTCCAAACGTACCGCAAGCTCCTTTTCTTGTGTTTTCAGTAAACGCTTATGGTTGCATTTTGTCTTGTGTAGGAGACTTTTGCTGGACTGAGAAAAATATATCCAACAATTTGTTAGAGTAAACTTCGATATGAAACACTTTTTAACAGTCATTGAGTAAAAAGATGTGTCTACGAAAGAACAGTGGAAACCAGAGCATTCATCAAAACTTGGAAAGAAAAAAAAATGGAAATTGGCTGATGAACAGAAGATATTACTATTGTTCTTGTTCAGGTCATCAGGTGCCAATATAAAAATTCAGTTCCGTTTTGAAAGAGGCTCGTGTTACAGGCAAAAAAGAGAAAAAAAAGAAGAAAAACATACCTGCTCTTCTTCGTGTACAGGTAACTCCTCCAGAGGCATGGTTTTTAAGCCTGATGGTTTCGAGGTGCCTTCGTCAATGAAATTCTTGAAGACTGATTGAAGCTGTTCATTAATACAGGGCACAGATTTCATCAGTGTCAGACTAATCTATCAAAGCAGTGTTGAAATATAGTACTTGCCATCTCAGAGTAGATCATAAAAGGCACATCATTTACAGTACTTAGCAATTTATCAAATTCCATTCACCATTGCTACACAATTTAAATTATCAACCTGAACACTCACCTCAGGGAATCTTGAGATGATTTTCTGGAAATTCACTCTAGAGTTCTGCAATTCAAAGAATTCAAGCAATTATTGCACCAAGATGATCTGACTGTTGCAGTATGCATAGAAAAAGAGGCAGAACATTTCATTCAACATACCTCGCTGCCATTCTCAAGTGAAATAAGAGTCTCATCAATATTTTCCTTGGAGTTGAAAATGTGATCGGCAACCAACTTGGCTATCACTGCATATATCCAATCCGTGTAAGAGACTAGTAAGTAACTATAATGTTATAATACAACAAAACAAAAAAAACTAGTGTGTTATATAGTTGTATCATGATGTGGCTGAAATGGAGATAGAGTAGCTTTAATGTTCATAGCTAGATTACTGAACATGTTACAGGCTCGACCTGACTATACATAAGAAACAAATGAAGGGTCGCTAAGAGTCAGACCTTTGAGTTTATCAGATTCGTCATCTGTGCAATCGTTATTGTCACGGAGAGAGGACATGTCCAAATGCCTAGACGTTTTAGAAGCACTAAGTGGATGAATCTTAGATGCAGAGAGCTGAAACGTTGGCGTTTTGATGTGCTTGTAGAACCCATTACCACTGCTCGTCATCTTGCTCTCATGGTATGCCTTAAGTCCTAAAATGCAGTCCACAACTTTGCTCACTGATCCAGACTCGAGATTATCCTGTGACATCACAGGGTTATTCAAAATACTAGAAGATTGTAATAGCTGATAACATATTCAAACCCTTAAACATAAGAAGAAAGATTCTCCCAAGGCGTTTGTTACCTTTTCGAGATCAGAAGCTTCAAATCCCGGAAGCCTCAATTGCTCCAAAGCCACAAGAAAATTCCGGACATTCTCGAAATATTGATAAGCTTGAGGAAGTTGATACTCTCGGTTAAATGACTGCAGATGCGAGTAGTTCTCCACAACCTTAGGTTAACAAATAAAAACCCAAATCAAAGTCTGATGATTTATAACTCCAACTTTCCAGGTTCAAAAAATTATTGGGATACTTTGAACAATCAATTGAATGGAAACAATCAATTGCATCAAACAAAAGAGGTACCTTGGAAACTGCTCCAGGGCGGATCTTGTTGATTGCATTGCACAGTATCATACCATTTCTTAAGCAAGAGATAAACTCCTTCTCCGATGGCTGACTCGGAATACCGAGCTGACCCACTACAGATTGGAGCCATTGCACGGCCTGCAATCGCCTAGCAGCTGCAACCGAATTAAAAGAAATCAGAAACAAAAGAAGAAACTTGTCGATCTTTTTCCAATTCAAAGAGAGAAATTTGTTTACGAACCGGCTTCTTCGGCTCTTCTTGAGGCCAAATTAAACTCATGCAACCCATTTCTCACGCTTGTCATTAGAATCAAATTTGCAGTTTATCTTTCTGGAAAAAGAAGAAAGATTTGATATCACCAATTCAAAATCAATGCACGTCTAAACGAGAAAAAAGAACATCCAAGGAAACAAATCGGGGTTACCAATTATGAACTATGTTTATTTCCTTCAGGGCACAGATAAAACCCTAGAAAACTGAAGAAAAGTGAATTGGGATCGAACGAAAGTCGTCTTCTTCTGCTTTCTTTCAGTTGTTTTCTTTGTGCTTCTGTGTCGGATATTTAGGGTCGGATCTAAACCTCAGCGAAAAGATTGTAACGTTAACTCTTTTACTCTGTTTGAATTCAAATATCTGCTGAAGTAATCATATCCGTCCGATTCGCTAAAATGTCAATGGCCTATGATTTCTCGAAGATGGTAAAAGCAGTTTAACATTTTTTTAATCGAATTGAGTCAGATTTGGGAAATAAATATCATTTCCAATTGATCATCACGATTTTCATTACACATCCAAAAATTCCTCTATTTTTAGAAATTTCCACAAAAGAGACAAAAAGTAGTAAATGTTTTTTTTTTGGAGATCACCTATTATCATTTGTAGAAATGTGGGGGGGTTAATTTATATCAATCGTCATCAAAGATCTGTTTTCCAGAAATGTAACGTTTCTTGCTTTTGATTTTCGTAACTATACTGAGTTTGTCTTCGTCTTTTTCTACTGAGATCTTTTAAAACCAGAATAATTAGTACTCCGATCATCTAAACTATCTAGAGATACATTAATTTTAATGACTCACAAGTTATTATCATGTAAATTGATATATTTTACTAAATTAAATACATACAGTATGATTTACATACAATATTTGTAAGAAAAAAGAAGAGAAATTTAGACATTACTATACTAGTCGATAAAAAGGTTAAACTTACACATTCGTGATGCATCAGAGAAAGAAACCTGGCCATATGGAGGTATATTTATTACACAAGACTTGTTTAACAATGTTTTTGCTCATATGGAGGAGAGCCACGTCTACAGAAGCAACGAGGAGATAGGTAAAACAAAAGTCGAAAATCAACTAAAAAATCCAAAAGCTCATACGGCAACGAAAGAAAAGTGAATTTGAAGCTATCAAACTCAAGCGACGAGGAATGGTAGAACAGTGAGCATGAAGGTCTCGTAATTGAAAGTAGCTGAGCCTGATAACGCCGTATCCTTCTCCTTGAACTTCTCAGTCAGTCCCTGCAACCATATTTCATCAAACATCAATACACAAAACACACATTCAACATATTGTAAAAAATAATTTGGTTCCAAGTCTCTTAAGGATGTGACCCTAGCAATGAAAACAGCTTACCTTTACAGTCAAACAGCACCTGCATCAATCGAAAAACCAGAATCATCAGTACGAAATTCATCTTTTTACAGAGCAAAGAAAGACTATATATTTAGTCAAGGGGTTGAAACGAATGAACATACTCGATGAAATTGTCATATTCGATAGCCCTATTCCTTCCTCCGCTTTTGTCAAACTTTGAAACGAGCAGATCCAAAACCACAGGAGACACCGAAAACCCAAGGCTCAAGAGTGCATCTCTCAGCTCGTTTGTATCGATTCTGCCGCTTCTGTCCTTATCAAACCTCTCAAAGATGGACTGAAAACCAAATCCACAAACCAAACACCAAACAAAACGACACGAGTTTAACTCCAAGATTATTCTTGATATGTTATAATCAACCAACAATTTCATCAAAGACTTACCCTCCAACTCTGAAGACTATAGAAAAGTGAACTAAACTCTTTTGGTCCTGCAATATGGAATTTTTTAAATCAGTATATACTCAGAACTAACAGATAATTGTTTTATAGCATCAAGTTGAATTAATATATTGTAACTAGAGGATTTGGCATCAAGTTGAACTAAAAGATGGTTGTTTTAAGTACCAATGATCAAAGTCAAACCATACAATTTGCAGAGGAAAATTCTAAAAGTTGCCATCTTTCGAGGTGCCAAAAGAATCTCAAACCTAAATGGTGAAATTAAGACACTGGGAACCTTCTCAGAGAGCAAATTTCACTATGACCAAGATTCAGACTATAACAATCAACGAAAGTTTTCTTGATTGAAACTGGGGAGAATCTCTCGGATCAAGAAACTCACCGATCTTCCTGACGTTGCTGTTGGTGAAGAGATACATAAGGAGATGAACAGTTCTAATGCTGAAGCTCTGATTATACGAAGAGAGAGCACCCTGAAGCTCCTTGTCGTCGATGAAGCCGCTATTATCCCGATCCGCGGCCTGGAAGCAAGCCACGATGTTCGGATCCGTTCCCGGAGGAAACGCAGACGGGACCAGAGACGCAAACGGGCTTCCATAAGAACCCTGCGGAGGAGGAGCTCCGTAACCTCCATGCCCCGTCGTCGGGGCTCCGTAACCACCGTAATCCGAATGTCCAGACGATGGATTAGCACCGTAACCACCGGGAGATCCGTAAGCGCCGTGAGGTTTGTCTTTATGCGGCTTATGATCTCCGGCAGGAGACGCGTATGGGGCGGACGGTGGTGCACCGTATGGCGAGGAGGACGGTGGAGGTTGCGCGCCGTACGGAACAGCGTACGGTGAGGATCCGTGCGGTGGAGGATTGGTGCCGGAGGATCCGTAAGGTTGAGGCGGTGGTGGGTTTCCGCCGTAACCGCCGTAACCTTGGCTCGATGGAGGGTAACCAGACATGGCGAATAAAGCTTTCAGAGAGATCACACACTAGTGGAAATTTGTCTGCGAAATTTGGGAATTTTGGATCATGTTTAGCCTCGTCAGATACTGTATATAGACAGATATTTGGGATTTTAGATTCGAGGTAATTACGAAATCACCACATAAGAACCAAATGGTAACTGTACTCGCTGAGGGGTGTAATCGTAATTGTGAGATACGGTTTACACACGCGCGAGCGCGACGCGTCAATTTTTGTTGCTGATGTAAATTCTTTGAAACTTCGTCGTCCCTCGTCAGATCAGCTTTCTGGCGGGCCCGGTCCAATTTTATATAACAGAAAGAAAATTGGTTCGAATTTTAACACTTACCGAACCAGAATTTTTTTCCCGACTAACTTACCGAACCAGGATTTATCTAATTTTTGTTTGTATGCGTTTATGCTTACGTTTATGCGTTTATGCTTACGTTGATATATTTTAAACCAGGGAATAATGTGTTTGTTACCTATTACATGAAATCATAACCTTAATATTGTAATCTATACTAGATTTTAGATTGCGTTTATAGAATTACAGTCAAATCTTTATGTGAAAAACTCGAGTACGGTAAAAAAAACTAAGAATGATATCTGCAACTAAATACGTAAGAGTTATATTTTAAACACAAAGATTGCATTTATAACAATTGAAACCCTAGTCGTAATAGAAAATAAATCTAGAGTTTGGACCAATTTTTATTTGGTCAAGAAACCGAATTTCTTACCTAATTTGAGAAAGGAATCAAAGTAGATACATCTGCGATGATTTTTTCTTTCCTTTGTATTAAGATCATTGTAACCAAAAAAATAAATAAAAATTGTTAATTTAATAACTGCATATTTACATAGTTTTAAAACTCCTTACTTATATATCAAAATGGATCAGTCAATTCCAATGTATATATTTTCCAATTTAATTCTGCATTAATTAAGTTTACCAAACAAGGCGCAAACAAAGTTTTTCCTTGTGAAAATAAAAAGGCTTCTTCTTTGTCGTCCCATGCTCGAGGTAAGGAGCTAAAATTTCTCTCGTTTCTTTCGTGTGACTCCTATAAAAAAAATCCAACCAAAATTTTCGATCTCGACGACGAGGATGAACAAGAAGAACCCAGATCAGAAATCAGAAATGTCGTCTTCTTCATCATCTCCGAAGAAACAAACGCTCTTCATATCATCCTTAATCATCCTCTGGTACACCTCCAACATCGGTGTTCTTCTCCTCAACAAGTTCCTCCTCTCCAATTACGGGTTCAAATTCCCGATTTTTCTCACAATGTGTCACATGTCCGCGTGCGCAATCCTCAGCTACGTCTCCATCGTCTTCCTCAAGCTCGTCCCTCTCCAATACCTCAAATCTCGCACTCAGTTCATGAAAGTAGCGACTCTCAGCATCGTCTTTTGTGCCTCCGTCGTCGGCGGCAACGTCTCCCTCCGTTATCTTCCCGTCTCGTTTAATCAAGCCGTCGGTGCTACGACGCCGTTTTTCACCGCGCTATTCGCTTATCTCATGACCTTTAAGAGAGAAGCTTGGGTCACTTATTGTGCTCTCGTCCCCGTCGTTACCGGTGTCGTTATCGCCAGTGGGGTACGATTTTCGTTTCTCTGAAATTCTCAACGTTTTTGGATGTTTGATTTTGATTTTGGCGGTTTTTGGGTTCGAGATTTTGGGAAATGTGTTTGTAGATTCTGTGATGTCAGGATCCTTTGTCAGTTTAGAGCATGAAAGATGATTGTTTGTGTTCCACGCGTGTGTCTGAATCCCAAAAAGTTTAGCTTTGTTTCATTATTTTTTACATTTACGTTTAGTATACGTTTCATTCAATTTTCCCGGGAAAGCACAATTCTGAGTCCTGTGTTATCTAAAGCTTCATCCTTTATATTAGTCTCTAATCGGCTGCGCTATTCGAGTTCTGTGTTATTTAAAGTTTGAGAATTTCGTCTTGTAACTATTTCCAATTTTCACAATCAGCAGTGTGCTGTGAGATATTTGTTTCTCTTGCAAGGCCTTTTATCTAATGTTCGATTTTGTCATGTTGTTTGTTGATTCTTTGATGTCTATATTAACTAAATGAATGATCAATGATCTTTTTTCTTATTATTTTGACATGGAATTGAACAATGATCTGGGTCAACTTGCTTTTGGTCACAGGGTGAGCCAGGTTTTCACTGGTTTGGATTCATTATGTGCATTAGTGCTACTGCAGCAAGAGCTTTTAAATCTGTTCTTCAAGGCATCTTACTTTCTTCGGAGGGGTAATTCCGTTAATAAAATCATTTGCTTTGCTGTTACATTTACTCACATGAATCAGAACCCAGCTGAGTAATGCTCATTTTAGAGTTTTGACCTGTCTCTAAATTCCCTTTGCAGAGAAAAGTTGAATTCAATGAATTTGATGCTGTACATGTCCCCAATAGCGGTTATAGCTCTTCTACCTGTCACAATTGTTATGGAACCAGATGTGATGAGTGTGACTCTATCCCTCGGAAGACAACATAAGTACATGTGGATACTTCTTCTGCTTAACTCTGTAATGGCTTATTCAGCCAATTTGTTAAACTTTCTTGTAACCAAGCACACAAGCGCGCTTACCCTCCAGGTAACAAACTGAATAAAAAACATTTCAACAGTTTTACAAGACTAGTAGAGGTGCTAAATTGGATCATGTTCAATGTTCCAGGTTCTTGGAAACGCTAAAGGAGCGGTTGCGGTTGTGATCTCAATCCTGCTATTTCGAAACCCTGTCACGGTGATGGGAATTGGCGGGTACAGTATAACCGTGCTCGGGGTGGTTGCTTATGGAGAGACTAAACGCAGGTTTAGATGAGCTCTGAGACTCCTTACCTTATGTCTGTTTTACTTACTATCTAATGGCTCTGAGGAACTGATGAAACTTTGACATTATATACAGTACCTTTTAGAGATTGAGATTTTTCTCTTAAATCATTTTTTGTATCTAATTTATGGACATATTTATATACCTATAAATATATGTAAGGTGATATATATCGCATTGTATTAGATTCTTTGAGTTTTTTTCGTTGGGAGATGAGATGCCATTGGCATTGACCATTGTTCTTGTCACTTTGTTGTGTTCACTAACTTCAAAAGAACCAAAAAGAATCGAGTTATTAATTTCGGTTTTAAGTTCGTTTTCTCCCAACATATCAAAGCTATACAAAATTCAGATAAAAACCAATAGTATTGTTTACTTAACTGAATACACCAAAGAAACCCAAAATTATATTCATACATTTTTAAAAGAGAAATTGTCAGCAAGAAAGTTTATATCTTTCTCTCTATTGAAAGATTTACTAGAATGTTGAACTGTTCGCTCCAAAAACTTTGGGCCGGGTCGGGTGTGTTCGAGCAACTCGGCCCGATATGGAGACCCGTAACAACATTGTTTGAAGCAGAAAAAACAGCTCTCGTCTCCATGGCTCTTCTTCAGAGAACTCCTTATCTTCACCACTGTTTTCGTCTCATGGCTTGTCGTCCTCGTCTCTCCTCTCACTCTCTATGTCCTTTAATTCACCGTCACTCTTCATCTTTCTCATCTTCAACACCCAGGTTTTGGCTCCTCTCCTCTTTTACTTTTCCGTTTTGGTTTCCGCGGAAACTTTAACTAGGCGGTAAATGAATTGGAACAGCATAACAGTTAGCTTCCGATGCTCAGAAAATATGACTTTTTGCGGTTTTCTGGAAGTTCCCAAGCAATCGAAATCGAGAATTGAAAGTGAAGTCAATTGCTTTCTTGCGTATTTGGATACGTTCAGGGCTTTTGTTTTCTGAATGTTGCCCAGAAAGTCTTATCCTCACTTAGTAGTCTTTTTCGATTCTAATTGATTTTAATCACAATTCTTCTATGTGATTGTCTTCCATAGTGTAGAGCAAACTTAATTGTATAACTATTCTTCACTTGGTATCTAATTGATTTTAGTCAGTATTCGGCTATGTGATTCTCTTCCATAGTGTAGAGCAAAAAAAATTGATTGTATAGCTATTCTTCCTTTGGTATCTAAATAATTATCTCTTGTTTTCAGGATAAAGATTCAGTTAGCCAAGGTTTTGAGTCGAAGACTTGTTCTAAGAAATGCGGTCTCACCTAGGTCCTTTATGTCATCGACCATGGACACAGACGCTCTCCAAGAAAGCTCCACCTCAAAGGATTACAGTTCCGAGCACATTCAAGTAATTCCTATAATGATTTGTTCCTTGTTCTTGCTTTACTCAGATGATGACCTGCTGCTTTATTCTTGGATACCCATACAATCGGAACAGTGTTCTCTGCTATAGTTGTTGAAATTCCTACTAATCCTTTGGTTTCTGCTGTAGTTGTTGATGACCTGTTGTGTATTCAATTCTTATGATGCATTAGGTGCTGGAAGGCTTAGACCCTGTCAGGAAAAGACCTGGAATGTATATTGGTAGCACTGGATCTCGTGGTTTGCATCATCTGGTAGATGCCATTTTTTCTTCAAACTCTCTTGGTCCTTACTGGCTCCTTTCAACTTGTTATAATTTTACCCTTTTCAATACATATTTTTTTGCTTAGGTTTATGAGATACTTGACAATGCAATTGACGAGGCTCAAGCTGGTTTTGCTTCAAAGATCGACGTTGTTTTACATGCAGATGATTCAGTCAGCGTTGCAGACAATGGACGTGGGGTATGTGATTTTTTTCCACTTACACATCCTCGTGTATTTTTATATCTGAAAACATGGATTGTACTTTTTCAAGATGGTATGCAAAAGAACAATTAAGTATTAGCCATTGCATTCCATAATCAAGCCTAGGAGGTGCCAGTTTGGTATTCCTAGTTATAATTTTCCAAAGAGTCCAGTTTTATATCCACTGTGCACTGAGAGTAAACAATATATGTTAATCATGCTCTCTTATTTTCATTTACGGTTTTTGAAATCTCATATATTTTTATTTCATCCCAGAATTTATATAGGACAGGAGATCCAGCTAAAGAACACTTTTTTGTCATTTTTATTCATATACAGCTTTCTTGCAGATACCTACAGACTTGCATCCCGCGACAAGAAAATCTGCTTTGGAGACTGTCCTTACGGTATTACTACTTGAAAATCTCTATTATCTTTTCAGGCAGATGATTCTAGTTTTTAATTTTTGGAAACTCAGCTATCTATTGTGTAGAGCCGTCTATGTTGGTCTTAATGTAAAACCACACGTATTTTTTGTTTTGTTATCCTGTCTTCGACATGCAAATAATCAGTCATTCTTTTATTTGTGCAGGTCTTACACGCAGGGGGTAAGTTTGGTGGCAAGAGTAGCGGATACAGCGTGTCTGGTGGATTGCATGGTGTAGGTTTATCGGTTGTGAATGCTTTGTCAGAGGTTTGTTCTAACATGTTTTCTTTTCCCCTCCGCTAAATTGAAAATCGCATGTGCCTGGTTTATTGGGTTGTAAATATTCCTATGATAGTTAAATCCTGCACGTTGGATCTGATAAGAAGGTTACGCTAGGTTATTTCTTATTTCTGAACCTCGTATCATATCAGAAAGATCCTAGAATGGTTCCTTAAGAAGTGCTGGGGTTATCAATTTCAAATACTTTCCACTAAAAACAACGGTTATATTTGGCTAGACATCAAGATCCTACTAGAATAATTCATATAACTAATGAAGGAGCTCGCACTTCACAGGCATTGGAGGTTATTGTTCGCAGAGATGGGATGGAGTTTCAGCAGAAGTATTCTCGTGGAAAGCCCATAACAACACTTACATGCCATGTTCTCCCACCAGAGTCAAGTGGGACTCAAGGGACATGCATCAGGTTTTGGCCTGATAAAGAAGGTGTTGCCTGTTTTCTATAATTACCTATTATACCCTTCCAATTCCAAAGATAGGATGTGATGACTAACTGATCTAAACTGATTTTTCAGTATTCACGACTGCGATTCAGTTTGACCATAACACTATCGCTGGACGAATTAGGGAGCTTGCTTTTCTAAATCCAAAGGTATCAATTTATGACATAAAACCAGGGCAGCCATGATAACTTCTTTTAATTATTACGTTAATATTTGAATTTTTTGCTTCATGTTCATGGAGATTCCTAACCTGCCCGTTTTAATCAGTTCTCATTCGGCAGAAGCTAATGTTGTACTGTTCTTATTCCATAATCAAGTGGTTCATATAAATGAATGCAGGTTACAATCTCTCTTAAAAAAGAGGATGATGATCCAGAAAGGGACCTGTATAGTGAATATTTTTATTCTGGAGGATTAACTGAATATGTTAGCTGGCTAAATACTGATAAGGTGAGCTTGCACTGTGGATCCCTTGTTATAGTTGTATAAGGTCTCTCAAATATTCGCCTATCAGTGATTCTAGAATTTAAAGTCGAAAGGGTTTAGTCTTTAGGGCTCTGTCTTAGCATGAGTATGAGACTTGTGTCAATTCAGTCTCTATTAAGTTAGCTCTTATGCATTTAGGTCTGGTGTTATACGCCATCCTAATTACTATCTGTCATCTTGTAAAAATTAATTATCTGCTCTTTTGTTCAGAAACCGCTCCATGATGTGCTGGGTTTCCGGAAAGAAATAAATGGCACCATCGTTGACATTGCACTTCAGTGGTATGCTACTTTCATTCTATATACGTCTCTAATATCTAACTCGGCTTATATGATGAACAGATATAATCTACTTGTGTTTACCGTAAAAAGGCATACTTGAACATTTAGGCTGACTGATTATATAGTTTACTCTATCTGTAAACTGGACATCAATTGATGTAATGTATGCGGAGATGATGGCTGTATATGCTGCACTTATTTTGGATGAGAATGCGTATATCATGGCACGATCTAAATTTATAGTCACGTAATGGTACCAGGTGCTCAGATGCCTATTCTGACATGATGCTGGGATACGCCAATAGTATTCGCACCATTGATGGTGGGACACATATAGAAGGTGTGAAGGCTTCATTAACGAGAACTCTAAATACCCTTTCAAAAAAGTTAAAGGTTATCAAGGTGTGGTATCAGTAACGAACTGCGTTTTTCCGTTCTTTATATGTCCACCCTTAGAGGTTTAGAGTCTTTTTCCCCCTGTTCTTTCCCTCTTTTATTATAAAATCTGCACAGGATAATTGTGGTTAAAGAGTCATCTTAGATAGTGTAGGTCAAGAATAGCTATCATTTCCGTGGACTTAGACTGAATTGGACCACTCGTACATCTGCAGTTAATAGGCTCTGCTGCTATACGTTCTCACTTCTGCATGCTTTACGGACAATGAACATGTACTTATACGTGGTTGAACTGTGAAACATGCCAGTTATAGAGGTTGCTTTTGCATCATTTAAGCATTTATCTTGACCAGTTTTAGGGAGGCATTCCTTAAATGGTTGCTTATTAAGGTGTAATTGTTTTCAGGAGAAGGACATTAGCTTAAGTGGGGAACATGTTAGGGAGGGATTGACCTGCATTGTCTCAGTCAAGGTCCCTGATCCTGAGTTTGAAGGTCAAACAAAGGTATTCAAGCAGGTCATAACGTTTTCTTGTATTCTGTTGCTCATATTAATATTTTTTTTTTGCCCCCTAATCATTAAAAGACAAGACTAGGAAATCCAGAGGTGAGAAAAATTGTTGACCAATCAGTCCAGGAGTACCTCACGGAGTACTTGGAATTGCATCCAGATGTACTTGAAAGCATTGTTTCCAAATCCTTGAATGCGTACAAGGTATAGCATTGATATACATGCTCATACTTTCACATATTCACATACACATATGCACTCGAACGCACAGATGTGTGTTTTATTCCTTAAGAATCATTTCTTTGATAGCTGTGATTAGCGTATTCTGTGATTATGTGTCTCGTCTATGCTCCGCCTATTTCAGTGCATCCAGTTACTAATTTTAACCAAATAACCGTGAATTGTCCCTGTTGACTCTTTTTCTTTATAGGCTGCTCTGGCTGCTAAGAGGGCTAGGGAGTTGGTCAGATCAAAAAGCATTTTGAAGTCATCCTCACTTCCTGGGAAGCTGGCAGATTGCTCATCTACAGATCCTGAAGAATCTGGTATGCATTAGCCAGCGTGGAAGTGCCTTGTCTTTGAAAATCAGAACATGAATATAAGTTGATGAAATTTAAATTATATAGTATAGATTACTATAAATTTGTCAAACATTTGATCTTCTAAGACTCAAAGTGAGAGGATAGGAAAGGAAACAAGAGGCTGTCATTATATACTTGTTATAGCTTTTAACTTGTAAGATGTCAGAGTTGATCAACTATTAACATCTTTTTCCTATATTACCAGAGATTTTCATAGTCGAAGGAGATTCTGCTGGTGGCAGCGCAAAACAGGGTCGTGACAGACGTTTCCAGGTAATAAATCATCGTGCTCATTGAGTCACTAGACAAGAAATCAGGGAGGGGTAGAAAGGGACTTTTTTGTTTCCTTAGATATATAAAGCAAATAATATTCAATTATTCATTCTATGAGGTGCTCCTGGCTGATACTTGAGAGAGTTAATTTTCTGCCCGTGTGTGAAATACATGCAAAGTTTAATGCTAGTAAAATTCTGGTTGGCGTCTTTTGAGTAAGCAGATGTAAGAGTCTAGCAGCCCTCTTTTTATCCTTAAAAAGACATTGACTGGGTATCAGAGCAGTATCAATATTATTTTTTAATGTCAATAAGATGAGAGTAAAGGTAAAAAACAAATTTTCGATGATTTAGGCTGTTTCGGGATTTGAGTGTGTCGTATGCAAAATTGGAGATTCATTCACTGGTCAACACAGTATCATATGGGTTTTGCCATTATAATTTTTGAGGAAAGTTTAAGCATATAGTACAGTAGAAACAGTGGGTTCTGCTTCTAGTTTGTTAGTGCGTAACACAGTATATTGGATCTATGCAGGCGATTCTTCCTTTAAGGGGTAAAATTTTGAATATTGAGAGAAAGGATGAAGCAGCCATGTATAAGAACGAAGAAATTCAAAATCTAATTCTTGGCCTTGGTCTTGGAGTGAAGGTGAAATATCCTTGTTCATATCTTATTTGTTTTTTTTTTTCTTTCTTTTCGGTATTTTTGGCAAACTAACGTGATAATCTATTACAGGGAGAAGATTTTAACAAGGAGAATTTGCGTTACCATAAAATTATCATCTTAACAGATGCAGATGTTGATGGTGCACATATCAGGACACTTTTGTTGACCTTTTTCTTCAGATATCAGGTATTACTTTAGTTGGATATATATTTGTGCTGGTAGAATTAGGTGAAATTAATGAATTTTTTTTCTGCAGAGGGCCTTGTTTGACGCAGGATGCATATACGTTGGTGTTCCACCCCTTTTCAAGGTAAGTTCTTAGCATTTATGATCTTCTGTTGTTATTGTGCTTCAGAATTACGGGAATGTTTTTTTCTAAAGCTAGTTTTATCTTTGAAAACGACCAGGTTGAGAGGGGGAAGCAGGAGCACTATTGCTATGATGATGCAGCTCTTCAAAACATTATTGCTTCGTTCCCTGGAAACGCATCCTACAATATTCAGAGGTTCAAAGGTAATGCCTGAGCGAAACCCATTTTTGTGGTCTTATGGCTTTTCACGTCGTGAATATGTTCTAGGAACTTAACGTACATGTCTTGTGTCCAAGAATAAATAGCTGTGACAAGTTAATTGATAATAGTTGTTCTGGTTTAGTTATACAATACTCTGAGTTATTACATAACCAAATCTAGATTTGCCTCAACATTTGGTTTCACGATGACGCAACGGTATTATTCGGTAATCTTCCTTCTTTTTTTTCTGCACCTGCAGGTTTGGGTGAGATGATGCCTGAGCAGTTATGGGAGACAACAATGAATCCAGATACAAGGATTTTGAAGCAACTAGTTGTTGATGATGCAGCAGAAACGAATATGGTCTTCTCATCTCTTATGGGTGCTCGGGTAAGCCAGTGAATTGCCACAGACTCAGATATTTTCATCTCAGGGATAAGCTCCATTCTCATTAGTTGATTAAAAAGAAAGACAATTATTGTCTGGCAAAAGTCATGCTGCAATGTTGTGTTCTGTCTGTGTCAGGTCGATGCACGTAAGGAACTCATCAAAAGCTCTGCGACTAGAATCAATCTGGAGCGTCTTGACATATAACACAAGCTATTGCTTAGGGCAGAACCGGGCCTCGGTATGAAGCATGTGCTTCGGGTCAATTTGTGAAAATGTTGTTAGGGGCCGATTTGAGAAAATATGAGTTTGGCATATTTGTAAAATTTCGAAACATCGTCACTAAAATCACAAGTTTTTTTTTTTAGTAAAAAATCATCGTCTCTTAAATTGATTTATATACTTTCAAAGTAAAAATAGAAGCCGTAAAAAAAGTTGCATAGATAATCATATCTGTAGCTCAAACTGTCGAAAAGTTTGTCTTTTTAGATTTTAGATTAAATACTCGCCAGCTGTATTAATAAAATTAATTAAAGTCAAATAAAACTCGCTAATCTAACTACTGTTTATAATCTAGTTTTGGACATTTCGTAAAACACTGAAATCCCTCGAATGACTCTACTTTGTACAAAAATACTCCATTGTCAAATCCAAATAATCAAAAACCAGAATCAACTTAAATTTCTTAACTATTCAAAATCGTAATCCCAATGGATGGGAAGAAGTTAAAACTAAAGATTAGAAGAAAGATGAGAATGGTAACATGTTTTTTCATTAAAAAAAGGTAACATATATTGCTCTTTGATTTATTTTTGTGATTGCAAAATATGTATGTTCTCTCTCAGTCGGAAAATTGATTACTTGTGTTGTTAATTATAGTTTGGTATGATTTGACTTTTGTGTTCCATTGATTTTTATTAGTGGCTTTGTGATCTTTCTTGATCATATTTGGGTTTGAACCAAAATTTAGGTTTTTTGGTATACGAATATATAGACTTTAGCATGGTGGAATTTTTAAGTTAGTCACAAATGGTCTAAGATAAGAAAGTGTATGAATGAAGCTGTGATATTTCTTCGTAAGCACTTAGATAAACGCACAATTTGAAGAATAATCTAAATCTATGATAAGAAAGAAAGGTATATTAATGGTATTAGAATTACGTTTTACAACCATACTAGTGGCAGTTTATTTCACTAAAAAGGAAGACAAAAAAATTGGTTGTCCAATTTTCTTCTAAAATTATCAACAATGATTTTACCTTCCAATCTTCCATGGGAATTGTAACGGTTGAATAACGGTTGAATATTCTTCCCTATATGGACATTGTCACGAGTAGCACGTGGGAAAGATGAGTCCCATCCACACACAAACACTAAACTCCACATTATTTAAAAGGAGGAAGCCTTTCACAATTATTCGTCCCGACCAATCCCATCGCTTGCTTTACACTTCCACCCTCCTATCTTTCTTTGTGATTCATCTTTCAGAATCTACAAAAAGAAACCAACTTTTTTTTTGTTGTTGTGTGAAATTCACAGAACCAGCTTCCTTTTCTCCAATACCTCCAGGTTTATTCTTACTCATCTTCAACTGTATCTCGTTTCTGCTCTTCAGTTTTCTCGGTTTTTGTTCTCGTATTACTCGCCAAATAATAAGATCTGAGTCTCATATCATTGTAATCATCGCCAACGAACTGGTAAAAAAAATTGGGTACTTGAAGAGTTTTGGGTTTAGGGCAAGTGTGTCATTATTGGTCGGAAGAAATTGTCGAAAGATTCGATTTTTATATAGTTTCAAGTTCTGGGTTTAGCTCTGCTTGAGTATAGAACAAGTTGAGGATCTCAGATTGAATTGTGTTTCAGAATCATGCCTGAGAAGAATATTGTAGAGGATGTTCTCGGCGATTTGGTAGATAACTTCGCTGAGACAGTTCAAAAGAAGAAAAACGTTTCTTTCTTCGAACAGGAAGATACCGTCGCTTCTCGTTTCAATCGTTTGTTTGGTCGCGAGAAGCCAATTCATCATATCCTAGGCGGTGGCAAATGTAAGGATTCAAAGATACACATACATACATATGTGTGACTGGTTTGGTTTGTTTTTAATTAAGGCTTGATGAATTTTCTCAGCTGCTGATGTGTTGTTATGGAGGAACAAGAAGATCTCTGCAAGTTTTCTGATGGGAGCTACTGCAATTTGGGTGCTTTTCGAGTGGATCAATTTCCATTTCCTGTCGCTCGTTTGTTATGGTCTCTTGCTTGGTATGATCACACAATTCGTTTGGTGTAATGCCTCAGGGTTTCTAAACCGGTAATTTTGGTCTTTTTAACTTCTTCTTGTTATATCCATGGTTCCTTGTGATTGCAATCTAAAAATAAGCTTATTCATGTCTCAAAACAGCTCACAGTCTAGAGTGCCTCGCCTTGTTCTTCCGAAAGATTTCTTTGCGGATGTCGGTGTGACCATTGGAACAGAGGTTAACCGTGGTTTGTTGTTTCTTCAGGACTTGGCTTGTAGAGGAAATTTGAAACAGTTCCTCATGGTGCGTAGCTTTTGCTTCCATTTCATTTCCCGCATTTTCTTGTTTAGTCCTTAGATAATGTTTATAGAATCTGCATTTTACATCATTTTTAGGCTGTGATTGGACTATGGGCTGCTGCAATAGTCGGGAGCTGTTGCAATTTCCTAACTGTTTTGTATATTGGTGAGTATTTCTTATTAGAGATTGGGAATTGAGTTTATAAGATGACTTTTTTTAAGGGATGCATTTTCTCTGTGAAGGGTTTGTGGGGGCTCACACAATGCCGGTTCTGTATGAGAGATATGAAGACGAAGTTGATGGTTTTGTTGATTCTATGCTCATGAAGTTTCATAGTCACTACAAGAAGCTTGATTCTGGTTTTCTCAGTCGAATCCCAAGTGGAAAGTTTGGGTTGAAGAAGCATGACTAAATCAAAGTTCTTATTCTTTCTTTCTTGGTAGAACAATGGATTATGGTTTGAAAAGTTAATGTTTTGAGAATACTCACTCATGTAGATTTGTGTATTGAATATCTTTAATTTTGTTACAAACAAATCTCCATTGTGTCTCCTTGTGTAGTAGTCTCATAAGAAGTAAATAGAATCATTGGTATGTGCAATGATTAAATTGTAGCAACATACATATCAAAGTTATACAAGCAAATAGAGAACTCACTTAACAACAGGTGAATACATGTTTTTCGTTAAGAATACTGTAACTTCTCCTATATGTATTAATGTATTATATACTTGACAATTCGAATATGAAATACGAGTCGATTTGAACTGATAAAGATATTGCCTAACAGAAATTATCAAAGATTTATTCACAAACAAGAAGATTATTGTAACGTACATAGAGTTTTTGTAGATTATTTTATTCTGTCCCATGCATTACAAGAGCACCGGCCAGATTATTAGATACATAAAAAACGAATATATCAGAAATGCTATTGAATATCTCACCATTTTTTTTTCATTAAGAATACCAGCCAGTTTATCACCCATTTTTTTATTAAGAACACCACCTACACCAACCAGTTTTGGAATATACATATGTGCAAGGTTATAAAATATCTTAAATTTGTAACTTTAAATATACTCTTTCTATGTTTTTTCTTGGTAAAAATACTTTTTCTATTTTTGTTTATCTTTTCAAATTTTCTATAAAAAATAGCATAATACGTAAATCCTTGCAACATAAAAATTATATTTTTTTTTGCGTTTTTTATTATAGAAGATGCCAATATTTCACGTGAATCTCATCATCGATGGTGTTTAAAACTTTAAAACACTACTGAAAAATTATGTTTACGCATCAAAACAATTTAATTATAAATTTTGGTAAAATATGATTTTCTTTAATCTCAGCACAAATTAAAAATAAATATTATCATCTTCGGCAGAGCCATGCTTACGTAAATACTAGCCAGAGACGATGATAATAAAATAGTTTTTTTAATTTTAAATGTTAGTGTTCTTAATCTATTCTAGAGAATTCTAATGATGAGAATTTGTTAGAATGTACAAATTTTGCATCATATTAAAAACACATCAATAAAAATAAAATGTTCTAAATACATTAAAAAAATAAATGTTCACAACAATGGATATCAGGAAACAAAAATATTCAGTAAAAATTAATATTTTTATTTAACAAAATAAATAAAAAGTACAAACAAGAATTTAGTTTTAAAATCTAATATTTTTTAGTTTTTTATATGTTTGGTGACACTTATAAGTTTAAACATAATTTTATAATATTTTGGTTGTAATTTAAGATAAAGTCTTAATAGAAATAATTACAAATGAAAAAATTAAGCAAAAGACAAAAAATACAAATATCAAAACTTAATGAATTTGGTGAACGTTAAAAAGGTTAAACTACAACAATAGAAAATTCAAGAAACTGTTTATCCTAATATTATAATATTTTATTTCTTTATTTTATTTATTTTTTCTTTCAAGGAGATTCTCTTTATTCTTATTTTCATTTGAAAAATGCTAACCAATAATATTGAACCTATTAAAAATAAATTAAAAAACTAAAAGTTATGTATATGTAAATTTTGTAAAGAAAATGTTCTTAAATTTATCTCAAAAAATAGATCCTAGGCCTATGTTTCTTATATTATAATGTGAGCACGGCTCTAATCTTCGGCTATATCATCTTGTTCTCGTTGAACCAAAATAATAAAAAATAAAAATTTTGACTGCCAAGAAAAGATCAGATAACTCTGTATGGGATCCACCATAGTCACACAGTCTACACGTGGCAGCTTCCTGAGCTCCCGAGCCGGAATGTGTAATGTAATTAAAATAAATTAGTAAAATCAAATGGAAAAAAGGAAATGTAAAGAATTGATCCACGATCAAAGTGAGGTTAGGTTCTCTCTCCCCCTTTATTTCTCCTTTCTCTCCACGATTCATCTCGGATTAGCGACCAAGGTACCGATTTTGTTAAGCTGTGTCTTTTCGTATTTTTCTGATCGTTTTGATGGTATGCTTGTCGCATGTTCTTTTAAACTAGTTTTTTTTTTTTTTTGGGTTTGGGTTTAATTTGATTTGATCCGGTTGTATTTGAAGACGAAAATCGATTGAAAGTGTTGGAATTGGTTGAGGAAAAATTGGAGGCTTTCATTGTTTTTGATCGATAAAGTTTTGATTTTTAATCTTATTTCTGGGGAAATTAGCTTTACTGGTTGCAGTTTATGTCTTTCCAATGGTTTACCTCTTACGACCATCTACCATTGAGTTCTGTTTGGTAATAGAATCTGTTTTTGTCTTTTTTGTCCTTGTTGTTGAGTTTTTGCCACCAAGGTTTTATAATCTTTGATTGAACAGAAAACTGCCTTTGGCCATGTGGAAATATAAAAAAAGATCTTTTTCCACGAAATGTCTCCATTGATTGTTTGTTACTTTGTTTGATGTTAGGACACAACTATATTTCTGAGGTCGCCAAAAGTATTGTGAAAATATGGTATTAGTTTTCTCTGGGCTCTCACTTCGAATCCCAGTCTGAGAAAGAACCTTGTTTCTACTCGTTTTCCCATGTACAATCTCTTTGGTACATATTCTAATACTGCTTCTACCTGACAGGAACAAGCTCTGTTTTACAAAACTCTCAGAGATGTCAAGTGGAACAGTGAGAAGGGTCTCACGCCAAGATATACAACTGGTAATTATCATAACAAACAAAGGGTTTTGAGTTTATCTTCCTTTGCATATTGAACCACAATGTCAATTTTGACAATTAAATTTCTTTTCCTTCTCTTGTTATATTGAGGTTCATAGATGTTGTTTTTGCCACCTATTTCTTAGCTATTGAGAGAGTGTTTTTGTTTTCCTTGCTGCCTTCTTCATATTTTGGAAAGAACCTAACGAAATTGTAGAATTGAGACATATGTATTCATTTTTTTGTCTTTTTAATAATGTATTGGAGGAAAATCTTTGATAGTCAAAAATAGCTCGAGAGCTTTTAACTAGAAACATGTGACACCCTCTGATATCGAAAGCATCATACTTGATGATATCAAAGGCCTTCAGCTTCGTTGTGTAAATCTATGACTGAACTGAATCTTTGTATCTCTTATTCTCCTCCAACTTTCTGTCCAACCTTAAGCAATAAACTTACTTTTGCCTGTTGTTATCCCATTTCAGGTTCAAAACCTTATAGAACGATGCCTTCAACTTTACATGAATCAGAAAGAAGTCGTGGAAACTTTACTGGAGCAGGCCAAAATCGAGCCTGGGTTCACAGAACTAGGTAGCCATATCAGTTATCCGCTTTTTCATATCAATTTGCATCTGATTGTGTAATCCTTGTTCATTGGTGGTTATACTTTCTGGATCCAATACTTTGACTAAATGGTGTAAAGATAATCTATTTTCCAATTCAGCCCATCCCTAGCCAAAATCACGTTTCAATGATTTTATTCGTGTTGCTTAAAACTGGATTTTTCTGTACGAATTGGTTGGGATAATTTCACTTAATAGATCTTACTAGTCAGAACCCAGTTAGGAAGTGCTTAGCTTGAATACTTATAAGAAGCATAAAAAAGGGCTGACAACATTATTATATAACAATAAGAGGTCATGAGATATGAGAGAAAATGTATTTTGATCCGTAATTGTAATAAAGATGGGGATGATTTCAGGAATACCATGTTTTCCATTTTGGTTTACAGTTTGGCAGAAGCTTGAAGAAGAGAATCGGGAATTTTTCAAGGCTTACTATCTTAGGCTCATGGTGAAACACCAGATTATGGAATTCAACAAGCTACTTGAGCAGCAGGTTCACCACATGCAGCAGATGCATCCAAGTGGTATTAGTTCCGTCCAAAATACAAATGGTTCTCATATTCAATCAAGTAAGATTTGTTTGGAGTGAGATGGATTTTCATGTTTATTTTTAGTGTCTGTTTATTGCTTGTCGTATGAACTTTTTTCTTCTGTGAAATTTCGATTAGTTATCCTTGTATGTCACAGCTACCGACCTGATTAATTTTTTTTGTTCTTCTGGTTGGAAATTGACGGGAAATTTTTAGTTTTGGATAACTAATCTGTGATACTGACAACGATTGTCTTAACAGTGAATCAGAAACAGTTATGCTATGCCACTGAGCACACTAATCAATCTTTGAAGTCTGGAGGTGCACATCACCCTATGGCTTCGAGTCTGTCTAATGCATACCTCAATGGCTCTTCAACACTCAATACAAATGTGGCCTCTTCTGTGAACATTTCAACCCATGCTAGGAGAGTTGATGCATCTCCGAATATGCTCTCAGCACAGACCACAAACATACCAATGATGCAAGGAATGAATGGAGGAATGATCAAGTCTGAGACTGCTTTTACAAACCCTGCTTCTTACATTTATGGTGGTGAACGGAATGCCCTCGAAGGACATGCCACAGTTGGAGATACTTCGATCCCATCTTTCAGCAACGAGTCCAACAACCAGCCCCTCGGTGATCCACTTCTTGATGCAGAAGCTTCTACTTTTGGCTTCTTAGGTCAAATTCCTCGGAACTTCAGCCTCTCTGATTTGACAGCTGATTTTTCCCAGAGCTCAGGTCCTTCTCTATCTCATATACTCCCTTCTGTCTCGGTGTTTGTACGTCTTAGCATGCATATAGAACCAAGTTAATGGTGGTTTACTAGTATAAGAGCCAGCTAACAGCTAATAGGATTCATTGTATGTAATCATAAGCTTCATGTTGATTTCAGAGATTCTGGAGAGCTACGATAAATCACCCTTCCTTGTGCCTGATTCTGAAAATTTCCTGGACTCGTGCGATAGGGGAGAATATCAAGGTGAGAACTTTTGAGGCTTTGTTGAAAAAAGAAAGAAGAAGAAAGTATTTGTTTCATCTTTCCTTTTTCTCTAATCCAATGGATTGGTAATAATAATGGTAACTAAGTGTTTTTTGCAGGAGACAACAAGAGATTGGAGACCATATCTGAAGGTTTCAGTTACGACAACCTCGGGAGCGAGTAGTTAGGTAACAGGTGAGAACAATGGTCCTTCCATTTGCCTCCAGTCTCAGTGAATATTCAGATCTGACATTATCATCTTTGTTTACTGAAAACTACGCAGGTTTTGCTGCATCAATCATAACGTAGGACACGTTTGTGTATAAAAGATTCAGGCTTTTGATCTTTTCCTGGAAAATACTAATAGGTGGGGTGTATAAAAAAAGGGATTTCTATTAAACGTTATCATTTCAGCTTAAAGTTCGTAGTAATAAGTTTGAGAAGATCATATGTAGTTTTTTTCAATGTGTGATTTTGTCTCTTTTCTCTTGTGTTTTAGTTTTATTTTACTTGTTACAATTGTTTATTTATACATTAATGTTTTTGGAGTCTATGGAGTTTTGATCTATATAAATCTTTTCATAAGTCTTTATCTTCAGATTTGGAAAAGAAAAAAAGGAATTCGTAGTCGCAATCAACCTAGGATACAAAAGTGTATCGAAATTTCGAACTATTTAACTGCTAAAAATAAAGGTAGTGACTAAAGCATCAAACTCTCAAGATATATGATTTTAGTGCGTGAGTTAAGGGGTAGTACACAATCAACTTCATTTTTCAAAACCTTGCTTCTCTATGTTAGATGATATATCTTCAGATTTGGGTCCCTTTTACAATTATTCTTTTAGTTAAAGAAACTTATATAAAAAAGGTAGGTCCATGTTAGAAATGCGTTGTTGGTAATGACTCTAAGCCGGGCCTGGTGGTAATGACTGATGACAAATTGACAAATGTAAACCAGAGTCAGAAAACCGAAAGCTTTTTAAAGATAACACACAGATTTTAGTCATAATGGGTGGACGGCCCCACCAGATTACTCAAACCACAAAAACACAGAGACTCAATTTTCTCTCTCTCTCTCTGGGAAGATAATAGTCTCCATCTCTAATCTATATGAAGCTACTGCTTCTGGGTAAGTCTTTGTGGTGTTCGTTCATTTTTTTCTCTTCTTCGTCTTCCTTCATCTATTGCAACTTTGGATTAAAAACTCCCTTTTCTCTTTATTCATGTAGGTCTCGTAATCCTTCTGCTCAGACATTTAACTCTCGGTGATCCTGAATTATCTGAAAGTTAAGGTTTTTCTTTGTCTCTGTTATACTATTTTCTTCGAATTCGATGGACACTCTGTTGAAAACGCCCAACAAGCTCGAGTTTTTCATCCCTCAGTTTCATGGGTTTGAGAGACTCGCCACTAATAATCCAAATCCTTCAAGGGTTAAGCTTGGTGTGAAGAAAAGGGCAATCAAAATTGGTAGTAGTAGTAGTAGCAGTGCTCTTTTGGATCTTGTTCCTGAAACTAAGAAGGAGAATCTTGACTTTGAGCTTCCCTTGTATGATGCTTCTGTGAATAAAGTTGTTGATTTGGCTATTGTCGGTGGTGGCCCTGCTGGTTTAGCCGTGGCTCAGCAGGTTTCCGAGGCTGGACTCTCTGTTTGTTCCATTGATCCTTCTCCGAAGCTCATATGGCCTAACAACTATGGAGTTTGGGTTGACGAGTTTGAGGCTATGGACTTGCTCGATTGCCTTGACACCACTTGGTCCGGTGCTGTTGTCTATATCGATGAAGGTGTCAAGAAGGATTTAAGCCGGCCTTATGGGAGAGTTAACCGGAAACAGCTCAAATCCAAAATGCTTCAGAAATGTATAACCAACGGTGTTAAGTTTCATCAGTCGAAAGTCACTAACGTGATTCACGAGGAGGCAAACTCCACTGTGGTTTGCAGTGACGGTGTAAAGATTCAGGCTTCAGTGGTTCTTGATGCAACCGGGTTTTCCCGATGCTTGGTTCAGTATGACAAACCGTATAACCCCGGGTATCAAGTAGCTTATGGGATCGTGGCTGAAGTTGATGGTCACCCATTCGATGTAGACAAAATGGTGTTCATGGATTGGAGAGATAGTCATCTGGACTCATATCCAGAGCTTAAAGAACGGAACAGCAAGATCCCGACGTTCTTGTATGCGATGCCGTTTTCTTCCAACCGAATATTTCTTGAAGAAACGTCTCTTGTTGCTAGACCCGGTTTGCGGATGGAAGATATCCAAGAAAGAATGGTTGCTAGGCTGAAACATCTGGGGATCAATGTGAAGCGGATTGAGGAAGATGAGCGTTGTGTGATCCCTATGGGTGGTCCTTTACCGGTTTTACCTCAGCGTGTTGTTGGGATTGGTGGTACAGCGGGAATGGTTCATCCTTCAACCGGTTACATGGTGGCTAGGACTCTTGCAGCCGCACCAATAGTTGCAAACGCCATTGTGAGATATCTCGGTGGTTCATCGAGTAAGAACAGTCTGAGAGGAGATCAACTCTCTGCTGAGGTATGGAGAGACTTATGGCCTATTGAACGGCGTAGACAGAGGGAGTTCTTCTGTTTTGGAATGGATATTCTGCTGAAGCTCGATTTAGAAGCTACTAGAAGGTTCTTTGATGCATTCTTTGATCTGCAACCGCATTACTGGCATGGATTCTTGTCTTCCAGGCTGTTTCTCCCGGACCTATTGTTCTTCGGCTTGTCGCTCTTCTCACATGCTTCCAATACCTCAAGATTGGAGATCATGACAAAGGGAACTGTTCCTCTTGCCAAGATGATCAACAATTTGGTACAAGATAGAGACTAAGGCTGCAACTGAGACTATGTACATCTGTTCCTTGGTTCTTGCCTCGGGGGTATGTCTGCAACTGCAGGCTGTTGGATAATTGTGTATATCTATGACCTGAATTCTTGTGAAATGAAAATTTTACTAGTTCTTCTTCATTCAAATAAAACTAATGCTGCATTGTGTTTTCACTAAATCTTTTGAAATCCGAAAATAGAGTCAAAAGTGTAATAATATAAAGAGTAGATGTAGAACACAAAAGCAAATCTTTCGAAACTCCTTCTGCTCCATATCTGGTCGCTGGTTTGATGCTTCCGTGAAATCTTATATTTCATCTTCTTCGAAAGGGTCTCTTTCGGGATAATCACCAACCTGCAAGCCAATACAAAGTCATGTGTGAAAGTGCCAAATCAAGTCCACATTGTAGAATTCACCCAAAAGTTAGCTTGAGATCGATAAATTCCCTAAGGCCTACAAGGCATTAACAAGTGCTATAGCTAATCAATGTGGGAGTTCAGGCTCTTAATACTGACATCTTGGAAAGGAAAACCTGCATTGACATCTTTCTAACAGAGAGCAAATTCTACTATAGAACAGATGATGTCTAAGAATGACTTACGAGTTCGATTCTATGAAATGTAACACGTCTTTTCACTCTGATGCTAAGACCTTATAGAAAGAGAAATTACCTTTACTTTGTCTGGCCGGACCATACCTCCATGAAGCAGAGGGCACTCAAAGAATCTTGTTCCTTTTACCCTGTATATAGATTGGACGTTTGATATGAAAATCATGATGTTGAGCAAAAGCTTATACAAGATTAAGACATGTAAAGAGGTTTTTGTAGCACAGAAACATGAGCTGCAACTGGAATCCAGTTTCCAAAAGCAAGAAAGACTTCCACTCTAAATTTGTGGAGTTTAATCTAAATGACTATAATACAGCGACACTACGAATATGAAAGAATTTACATACATGCCATCGTGTTTTCCAAGGGGTTCATCATACTGAATTCCAACCCAATAGCCAGGACCCAACGACTCTGCTTGTCCAACATATTTGACCATTCCTCTTTTCTCCCCGGGCTCAACTTGGCATCTGTCTCCCACCTTGATATTTGACAACAAGAGAAAAAGAAATTAGATGCAGAATACAGAGAGCTCAGGTGTCGCAAAAGAACAAGACACTGGCTGATTAGCTCTTCAGTTTCAAGTAAAATGTCTAAAATGAAAGGCAAGGAGAGGACTTTATGTACAAAAGGAATCTGACTAACCTTGAAATTTGCACAGAGATCTTCCATGAAGTTCTCCTTCGTCTGCTAAAAGGATTAAGTTGAAAGGAGAATAATTAAGAGCCTTTGTATTCTTGAATGAATTTATCTACTACCAACTATTTTCCAATGCTATGCCAAAAGCTTCAGTTTTGCCAAAAGTTTGACAAGAAGCGATAACAGTTTGCTTATATAAATACATATTCGTTTTGTCATACCTTAGACTCAGGAGCAGCAGGATTTTGAGACACTCTTTTTTCTTTGAATTTCCTAAAACTGTCTAGAATTTGAACACAATAACACATCATCAGAGGGAGTTGCCAGTGCTCCGGCATTATTCACTTATAGAATAACTTGTCTCTTTCGAGACACCAATCCTAGGTAGTAGAAAATATACCAGTTCGTTTAGCATAATCCTCTTCTGAGATGGTATACTTCTCAACCAATGACGTATCTTCAAGCCAGCCTCCAGTTGTGACCGACGAGGGATCAAGATCTATGATGTGTAACCGAAACCTTTTGAAAGCAGCACAAAAGAGCAATAGATAAACTGATCAAACAAGAAGCCAATTGTCAAAACTACAGTGAAAAGAGGTCTACAGAGTCAAATTGGCTCCAAATTCTCTAAATCAGAAAACTTTGCAATCTGTTTACTGAAATCGGAACATCTCATCCAATTCATAAGAAAAAAAAAACAGAAGTTACCCATCGAAAGGGGAGAAGAAACCGAGTGGTCTTGTATCATCACTGAGAACTGCAACCTTTGAGCCACAGTCATCATAGAGCTCTAAGGCCATGGCAGTAACAGATGTGCCACATTTCTTCCAGAGCTTTTCTTTCACAGCTTCCACATTCATCTTCAGAACAAAAGCCAAAGGACATTAGTTTTAGAGATAGCAAGCAATACAAATAGAACAGTTACTGATGTTTTTTGTGTGTCTTGAAACGAGACTCACTTGCGGAGAGAAACGAACATCCGCAGCGAAGCTCTTAAGGTTGGAGTGAGTGACGTGTAGAAGTACAGAGTCATCTCCTTCCATCTGTAAACGCGAAGCCGCCATTTTTTCTCACCTCTAGACCTGACAAAACTCTGTTCAGTCACTTATCCCGATGAAATCCGGAATCTAATTCGATTTTTCTCGGCGTGGTAACAAAAAACGCTTACCTTCTTAGCTGATTTAGCGCAAGGAAATTGACTTTTCGGAAATCGAATCAAATCTCGCCGGATCGGAGGATTTTTGTTCCCTCCTGGTAAGTTTTGACAATGTAGCAGAGAAACCAGAGGGATTTCCCGAGAAGTGGAAGAAGTGTAGACAACCGGAGAGTGGAGAAGATTGAAACGGCGACGTTTTGGTCGCCGTCGGTTTTGAACGCCGACGTTTTGTAAAACTAGTTTGCCACGTGTTCTGTCGCACGTAAACTCTTATGTACTCTTCCGCAGGTAAGTATAAACCTTTAATCCCTTAGCCAGAAGCAGAAAGGCAAAAGAAGAAAAAGTAGGAAGATCCGTGAGAGGGAGGAGAAATTCCGGCGATGGCGGAAGATTTCTCTGTGATTGTCTTAGCTTCCGATCTAGGAGTTGACGCTCGACCGTTCTTAACGAGAAGCGATGAGGTCGATGGGCAAGAGAACTGGCATGATTGTCCTCAATACCTCGGCGACGAAGATTTCTCCGATCTCGATCTTCTTCAGTTCTTCACCCTCCAAGGCTTGGATAAGTCCGGTAACCGGATTTTCCGCATCGTCGGAAAGTATTTTCCCGGTAATTACACTGACACTAGTCGCCTATTTACACTTAATCGTATTACAGTGGAGATTCATTATCTGTATGCTATTAGTTGAAATGAGTCATCAAATATAGTGATATAAAGTTTTGGGGCAAAGTTGCTAACTTTGTTATTAGGACATGCTTGTATCATTTCTTGTCTTTCCGAGTTCATACAGGTTATTTGAATAATTGCTTTCTGGATGAGGCTATATTCTGATTTGGATTGGTTTGATTAGTGGATTACGATCTGGGTAACTTTGGATAGCTTTTTAGGGGGTGTTTTTTAATCATGAATTTAAAATGAATTTTCTATGTTTTATAATCTTCTAGATTTAAAAATTGATATCAGTTTGATGGATTCATTTGTTTAGATTCTAAAATCTCTGCAATATATACTGGATTTTGATTCTAATAATTTACTCATAAAACTCTATTAGAATTGATTTGAAATGACTTAATGTACAAAGATTTTAAAAATTATTTAGTTTTGAATAACACTAGATTTTAATGAAAGATTTGAAATCTTTATTGAATAACACCAAACTTTAAAACTTCTTAAATATGATTTACAATCAAAAGAACCAATAACACTTGATTTTAAAACATTATTTAGAATCATTAGTTGAATAATAGTGGATTATGGTTGGATTTAAATTCTATTAAAAACCATGATTGAATAACACCCCCTTAGTGTTTTAATTGCTTTAGATATTTCTTTCTGAGCTCATGATCCGTTTAAGCTTATGATTTACCATATTTGATTGATCAAGACAAATTTAGACAGGAAGGAAAAAAAAAGTTACATGTTTTAGCTTTCGTCTAATCCTGTCTGTATTCATGGTCGATATGATATCAGGTTCTGTTTCATAGACATTTATTATCACAATGTAGTGTCCACTTCAGTCTCTTTATTGGTCTTCTTTATTCCTCCTTCTCTATTAAGATTTGATTTTGATTCCTTTTTGTAACTGATTTTTTTTTTTTGTGTATGAAACGCAGCTCGTGTTGTCAGTGCGGAGCGGCTGAAGAAGTATATATTCCATAAGATAAGCAACGAATATCCCGAGGGACCTTTCTGCTTGGTTTACATGCATAGCACAGTGCAAAGCGACGACAACTCACCTGGCATTACCATCTTAAGATGGATTTACGAGGACCTTCCTTCAGATATCAAAGACAGACTTCAAGTTGTTTACTTTGTACACCCTGGTCTTCGTTCAAGACTTGTCATTGCCACTCTCGGCCGCCTTCTTCTTAGTGGAGGGTAAGCTTTTCTAGTCAAATGCATCACTAGATTATATTAAGTAACCTCAAGATTACACAGTCGAAACTGAAGCAAAAGTTTGAAGCTTTCATGAACTAAACACCACATACATATAAGTAATATCAAGTTGTTCAAACAATCTTTTTTTGAATATCGTAGACTGTACTGGAAGATCAAGTATGTGAGCCGGTTGCAGTACCTTTGGGAAGAGATAAAGAAAGGAGAGGTGGAAATTCCCGACTTTGTGAAAAACCACGACAATGTGCTCGAGCATAGACCGTTAACCGACTATGGAATCGAACCGGATCCGTTCCAGTTAACAGAAGTTCAATCTTCATCGTTCTCGATTAACCGTTACGAGAACAGATGGATCTCATAGTACATTTTCTCCTTGTTCAGCCAGAACCTCTATGTTTATGTTAGCTGTATAAAGTAATTCAGTGTCCTGGAAAACTTCTGTTCCAATCTTGTTTTGATTGATTTTTGACCCAACAAGTACCAAATCATGTATCATATGTGTAATTATTGAGGTTTATTAGGTCAGAAACAAGCTCTGGTATGAGTTATGAAGATAGAAAGTATATCTGGAAAATTGTTTAGCTTTTGCTTCATAACATGTACACAGACATTTTAAAATCAATAAACGAGTACAAAACAAACAAAACTACGGGTTTGCTTCTACAAATTTGGAACTATAAGCAGGTGGTCATTTCATATGATTGCCCAGAATCTCTTTCTGCAAAACAAAACAGTTTCTGTCTTCTTGTATTTGTTTTCCATCTGATGAGTTTCCACTTCCCAGAGGAATTTAGGAGCCAAGTCTCGGATCCTTGAGACTATCGATTCCTCGTCCCTTATAATGACGAATCCCTGCCAGCCCCAAAACCCGCATTAACGCTTCAGTCATAATATATCACAAAGACTAGACCAAAATGGTTGTGATTAGTGCAAGAGTAACTCAAAAATACCTGAGGGCGAATCATACGGTCCATCTCAAGCATGATATCCTCTAGCAAACAACCATCGCCATGGTTTTGGTAGTGAGAGAAGACATGATCGGAATGCAGCAAATCATAAGTGCGCGGATATGTTGAGAATGGCTCACACCTAAGACATTTCTTTATTTATTTAAGTGGTCTTGATGCTTGGCAAGGATTGGAAACAAAACAAAACAAAAAGGGTTTTGAACATGCTTACCAATCATGGAAAGCGCCATTAAAGCCCCTCTCGAAAATTCCAGACAAGGTATCATTCATGGTGTTAGGTACAATGTTCATTATCCAAACGGGGTACGAGTTCATAGCTGCAGCAAATCCACCAATGAATGCGTTCATGTCCATAACATTTCGCACTTCAGTCTCATTGACATTCATTAACCGCCAGTAATGATTAACTTGTTCTCTCCAGAAGACTGTGTCTGATGTATATTCATCTTCGCTGATGCCTGATGAATTTTTTCGCTTTCAAGTGGTTAAGGGAATCTAGCAGAACATAATGTCTACATTCTACAATGAATTGAGCAGAAGAAAATGTACCTATCTTTCTTAGAGTTGCTGGATACGTGGAAAGACGTTCAGCTAAAGAAGAGGGTCTCTCTTCTGTGTGTCCACTGATTTGCACACAATCTCTAAGTGGAACTTTCCATGATGGTTTCGAAACAACTTCCACATCACATAAACTTATGAGCTTTAGCTCTGCATTCTTCCGAAGGCACGCCTCGTTCTCTTGTTTAACCCATATTGCAGTCTGTACCTCCCGGGATATGAGCTTCCAACACATTGAGCTAGTTAGATTGACCAACTTATCCCAAACCATAGGGTACTCTTTATCCTTTCTGTAAGCTGGTGGTGATGAATACACGAAGTATCCATTGGGTCGGAGAAGACGATGAACTTCTTTAAGTAAGATGCCATCTGCGGAAGAAAATGGAAGCTTTATCATTAATCTGAGAAAACCAAACACAAAAACTATCATCAGAGTAAGCTGCACAAGTAAAGATACTTAGCCAAAATTCGACACAGGAAACATACCATTCGCATGCCAATCAACACGGCATCTCGAACAATGAACCATCTCAAACGAGGCTGCAGGATATGGCATTTGTTTGGTGGCAACAGCAGAGATCATTGCACCAATGCCTCTCTCCAATGCAAACTGAATCTGGTTTTCATGACCATCTTTGGGAGCAAACGACATTGTCTGAACTCCTAAAGGAAGAAGATAAGCAGCAAAGCTGGCAACTCCACAGCCAACATCAAGAGCTTGTACAACCCCAGCTGAACGCAAGTCGCCTGTTTCGTTAGTCATCATATTTCCCAACCTGAAAGATACATTACAAAGTTCAAGATAAAAGAGCTTTTTTGGCACAGTTAATGTAGCCAAAGAAAAATGTTCACCTCTGGATATATTCAGCAGCACCATGCTTGAAATGAGTTCCACCACCTGGGAACCACCAAAACTGCCCATGCTCATGCACCCAATTTTGGCCACCCTTAACTTGAGCAAGATGCGTATGATTCACATTACTTCGCCATACATAGTCTCTACTGGTTGGCCATCTGATAGGTAACTTATAATCTTTAGGTGGAGGTACCAAGCAAAAGAGACGCTGCTCAAGCGGCAGGCAATGCCTCTCGAGCTCTTCTCTTCTAGAGACATTCAAGCTCGGAAGCAGCTGCTGCACATAAGTGACATTGTGACAAGGGATATACTCATTGAACTTCAATGGGCACACATTCATCCCAGTTTCAGGTATGACTAATGGTAATCTTCGGTAAGTAAGCTCGATTTTGTTTGCAAATCTGGAGGGAGCTGCAAACCCACATTGTGAAAGTTATCATTTTTCCGACTTGGATACTGAAAAATCATTTCTTTAAGCAGTTACATTGATTTGGGGGAAGATTTCGTTTGAGCATTGACCAATTAGGCTCCAGAGAGACCAAAAGCATAGCGATATATGTGAGTTTTCAAAAGAGAGGAGCTAAATTATGGAATTATGCCGCTTGAAATGAGTTGATATCGATTGATTTAGCACAAGAAGCCAAAACTAAATCAAATCACAGCAAAATTCCGACCGCATGCAGAGGAAATTTTGAATAATGTTTCGAAGAGTGCAAAATATAGAGAGATAGAGAGAGAGAGTGAGAGAGAACGGACCAGATTGAGAAGAAGCTTGAGAGATGTAAATGGGTTGGTCGTTACCGAAGAGAGAGCCAGCGTAAAATGATCCAACCATCAGAACGAGAGCCACCATTATCGTCTGCCCCGATCTCGCTGCACCCAATATTACACTATAACCTCCCATTGTTTTCTCTCAAGAAATGATTTTCTTCTTTCTTCTACTTTCAACTATAGCTCTTCTTCGTCTTCCTCGGGATTCGTTTATACTTTACTTTCGGATTCAACAATTCTACCAAGTAAACAGAGCTCAGCCTCATAAGGGTGTTTGTTGTGTCACGTCCACGTTTATTAGACGTGTCAACTTATTCTTAATACATTGTAATTAGATCATTTAGGTTTCATTTTCATCAGATTCGGTTTTCATATTTCTAGTCCTTTTTTTTTACTGTTTGTTTTACTTTTACCTTATGTTCAAAATCAAAAATGCAAAATTACTCCCCCTAATTTTAATTTCATTTAGAAATTTCCCGCATCAAACACGTTTGTAATGTTTATACGTTATGATGCCATCTTGATTTTCACTAATTCGGAAACCTCGTAATCTCTAAAAAAAAATCTAATTCGGAAACTTAATAATCACAGGCTAAAATAAAGAATGTTTTCATTCGTTTTGTTGACAAAAAAAAGAAGGAATAATATACAGTACTTCCATTGTTGACCGAATATATATTGGAAATGCATTTAATTGTCTTCGACGAGATCAAACCAATATATATATTGAATCCAAAATCACCCCAAAATCAAAACTAAACATATTTCTTTAGAAAAAATGCAGAAAACTGCAGCATTCTTCGTCATGCTCTTCCTCGTCTCGTCGTGTAAGTATTTTATGTTTATCTCGATGAAAAAAAAACTTTTTAGTTTTCGATATCCATCCTTAAATATGTCTGATAATTAATACAAATATTAATTGGTGTTTACATGATAAACAGACATGGTAACAGTGACGGTTGGGGATATATGTCAAACAGACAGAGATTGTGTGGAGATTGGGATTCCAAGATGTAAGAACACAGGGAAGATGCCAATTTGCTATAACGGATATTGTAGCTGCTTCGCTAAAAGGCCTCCTTCTTCTACCACTCTTCACTCTGATCCTTCTCCAACTCTTAATTAATCTTCATTTATATATTTATCCAGATTAATGTTACTTTAATTTTGATAATCAATGAAAAAACAATTTATTACTCCTTCATCATTACCTTCTCTCCATGCATCTTCTAATGCATTCTTTACACAAGAGAGAATTCAAACTCAACACAATGGTTTTGATAAAAGTAAAAGGCGTGTTTATTAATGATAAAGAAAAGTAGCAACACAAGGGGATGGTAAATGCAGTTAACCCCATGTTCTTTTTATTTAAGTAAAATTAGTAATCATAGCTATTAATGGCAGCAGAAGAAAAAAAATGGTACAAGAAAAAGGATAGTATATGATCAAACCAGCAAGGCAATCAAAGAACATGCTTTTAAGAATCTGACAAATTGGACCGCTGTTTTTTATTTTATTTTTTTATTTAATGGAATATATAAAAATAATTAAACTTCTGGTGTCTCACATAGTCACATGTACTCAGCTTCCATTAGTGGTATTAAAATGAATTAACCATCTTAAATACACTTGTTTCCAAAAACGACAATTAACTAAAAAGCTGCAAACTCTGTATATTCTCAAATCTAATGAATCTTTTAAAAAATTTGAAGAATTTATCAGTTCTTTACAATTTAAACATAGATTCTCTAATAAAATTTACTTTTGATCTCAGAATCTACAAAGGGTTTTAATTCATTTTAACACTAAAGTTAGAATCTTTAGATCGGTAATCAGTCAAAGTAAAAACAAATAGACGTGAGTAGAACAAAAAGATCGGTATCGTGTTTCACCATTTCTGCGTTCAAATCCCAGATTATAGACATCAACTCTTAATAAGAACATTAATTAACTCTCAAGAAACAAACGATACTCATAACCCTGAAAAAACAGAGCAAAAAGAGCCTCATAAACAAAAACATGAAAAGAGTCGAAACAAACGAAGGAAGAAGGAGATCATCGCTCGAGATCCATCATCCGGGAGAACTCGGAAAAGCAAACGAACCCGTTACCGTCATCGTCAACAGCTGCTATCATGCGCTTGCAATCCTCTAACGTGCACCGCTCGTCTCCAATGGCCGAAAAAACTCGGAGAAGCTCCTCGGCCGAGATAAAACCGTCACGATCCGCGTCGAAGAACTCGAACGTCTCCTTGAGCTCGGTCGAATCGCGAGACTGATCCGAGGAGACGACGCGACTGGCGAGCTCTTCAATTCGGATCGTACCTTCGCCGTCGCAATCCACCTCACGGAGCATGACGTCGATCTCCTCCTCCGACGGTGGATCAGGACCGAGCCGGCTGAGCAGTGACGACAGATCGCGTCTCGTGACGGCTCCGTCGTTGTCTCTGTCGATTAGCTGAAAAGCGTGGAGGATCTCGACGTACGAATACGGAGAAGGATCGCCGGAGACCTCCGGGAGAATGCTGGTCGGCGTGACGGAGCCGCCGGTGACGACGACGGAGGAGTTTTTACAGTCGGGGGCACCGGAAGACGAAGAAGAAGCGGATCCGAAAGAAGAACCGGGTTTAGAAACTGTGGATCGATCCTTGGATCCGAATAAACGTTTCGGGTTGAGTTTGGCGAATTTCATAGTGGGAAAATTAGAAAGATTTTTTGATGGAGAAATTGAGTGAGAGGAGGAAGCGAGGGGGTTAAATGGGAGTGAAGTGTGAGTTACCCATTGGCAATTTCCTGGAAGTTTCCTAGTCAACTTTTATCGGGTTTAACAGTTAAGATTCTTTAATTTTTAAACTATTAGTGTAAATCTGTGCTTAGATTAACTGAAAAGTAAGATTAAAAGGCGAATCATTTTTTTAAATACGTGCGACTCTTTCCTTTGTTTGTCTTTTAGCTGCGTGTTTTGAGGATCTTTTGGATAAAAATGAAAAATTTGCAAACTGAGAAATATAGAGATTTTTTAAAAGTTTATGAGGGTTGTTATTTGTTAATCATATTGAACTGGAAATATATACTACACTGTGCTTACATTTTTTTTTTTGACAAGTAACATTTATGCTTAGTTTAGAGAATCTTTTTGTGAACCATCTATCATTATCCTTACATTTGTTAGCGAATTATTATCAATTATAATGTAATTATGAATAAATATGTTCAAAAACGTGGTCATATAATAAACTAATATTTGTTAAATAAAAAATAGTCCGCATATTTTGTTATATACATTATTAATTGTACACTTTATTCTATTATACGTAAAACATTTTGTTGTTTTTCTAATTTTGTTATATTTCCAGGAACAAAACTTTACTACAATATATCGTATCGTTTATAAAGCTTGCTGACTTGTTACATTACATATGAATAGTGAAAACAAATTATTCAGATAAAATTTGGATAAATAGAAGTATAGAACTTTCAACAAAATTTGAAACTAACTGAAAATATTTTTAAAATTGAGGTTTTAGGTTGGAATAAATCTCGCTAATTATAGGATAAGATCAAAGACGATTATTATCTACCAAACGATAAATAAGGACTACCTTGACCGGTTTAGAAAAAAAAAAAAATTAGGGCCATTTTTTGCATAATAATGGAAATAAATAAATAATTTGGTGTTTGTTTTTTTTTTCTTTTTTTTTTTAAATTGAACCTTATTGGGCTTGGAGTTCGTGTGACCAGTTTCTGTTTCTTTGTGACCTTGTTCATTGGTTGTTTTCACGAATTTTTGTCTTATAAGCTATGATTTAGGATCTGTTTCGAATCAAATATTTTCTGAAAATTATAAACGACGGCCGGACTGAGCCGTTCGATGAAATTAGTCAGCAATTAGCCGATACTTTAACTTATACATATCGAATCTGTCAAATTTTGGAGTACTATTTTAAAGAAGTTGTTAGAAAAACAAAAATTCTGCGTGTTGCTTCTACGTTTATGTATTACCAATTTTTTTTGGTACTAAAACTACTATAATAGTGCGTTTGACAACTATAAATTTTGACGTTAGTTTCTTTAGTTCTCTTACATGTTCACGTACTATTATAAGTTAGAACTATATCATCACAAGGTAAGAACCAAGTCCTTGCAATAAATGGATTTTCTTCCACTAACGTGTTTTATAGTGTTACTAATACTCTATGTATATGTTAGGTTTGATCGACTTTTCCTACATTTAATCTATCTTAGATAAAAAGCTGCTATCTGTTAGACTCTTACTACAGTACTAGTCAATAGTAGTGTTCAGTTTGTTACTACTTGTTGTCGTTTCGTAAAAATGTAAAAAGCAATCAATTCCTTGCTACTTCTTAATTGTAGTAGTAAGTAACATAATACTGTACTGCTGTTATTAGTTTTAACTGTTATCTTTTGTTTTTTAATCTAAATTCAAGGGCTCCAAAAGAATAAAAATCATAATCAGGGATAATTGCTATATATTATTAACACACACATACTAATCATCATAACCAAATTAGTGATATATTGTTCGAAATAGTCATTTATAAATGTGGTCATTAGGTAGAATTACATGTGTTTTTGGTAGAATTGTACAAAACCAATATTTATTGACTATTAATATTTACACAAATTATTGATATTATCAGACTGATATAGATATAACAGTGGCAGGCAGACCATGAGGGTTCATATATTATTATAAATTGTTTATCTTTTGAATATTATCTTAAATATATTTATATCAAAGTTTTATATTTTTCTTATAATACATTTTAAAATTATGCAAAAAAACTTATAAATAATAGATTAACGAAATTTTCAGCGTGCACTATTAGTTATTATAGTGTTTTTAACACCGTTAGATTTAAAGTAAAAACATATTTAAAACAAAATTTAGTTTATTTAGAATTATATAAAAAATATATTATTATAAATTTCATGTGTTTCAAGTTTGTTTGGCAAATTAGAATATGTAGAATACCAAAATCAATGGGATTTTTGGTTAGATCATTCCACAAATTCTAACATTTAACAAATATAATGGATAACTTACCTTGTCTTTACTATGTCTTGACTGATATTTATTGACTATAACATTTACACAAGTTATTGATATTTTTTGCATGTTATTCGACTGATATATAATCCAAACCTTATATAATATACATTGCTATATACTTTAATTTTGTCTACTTTAAACAGTATTCATATTCTTAAACCATCTCAAAGGGGTTATTACAAAGAGTTCCTAAGATTGTATGTATAAAAAAATATTAGTTAAATATTAGAGGAGTTTTTAAAAGATAAGAGAGGATATTTAAAGTTTTTTATTTTAAGAACTTTTCTCATTTCTTTTAAGAATTTATTTCTTTTTTTTAATATGCATTTATTTTATATAATCTTTTTGGAAATTTTATACTAATGTTAATAATTTTATGGTTAGAGATGTTTTTACGCACTCAAATACAGTATAATTTCTATAAATTAATACTTCGATAAATTAATAAATTTCTTAAATTTTAAATTAATATTTTAAGTTGATTTTTATATCGATAAATTAATAACTTGATAAAATAATAAAATATTATTGTTCCGATATTAATTTATAGAGGTTTAACTGTACAATTAAATCACGATTAAGTATTGGACCGGGACGACTTTTCATCTGATTGGTTAATCAACCGGTTTGATCCAGTTTTTTAAAATTCGAAAACTAAAAGGCAAACAAGGTTTAGTGGAGAAGGAGGGAAAATTTCGAACACCTGAGTTTTAGGTCTTTGTTCGCCGGAGAAGATAGTCGGAGTCGTAGAAATAGAATGGAGAGGATCCATGTCTCAGTCAGAGCGCGACCGCTTTCGACGGAAGACGCGAAGACGAGTCCCTGGAAGATCTCTTCCGACTCAATTTTCATGCCCAATCACTCTTCTCCCTCATTCGAATTCGGTACTCCTTTCTCTTCACTTGTCTCCTAATTTTCTCTCTCAATGTTCTTCGAATTTTTATGCCCAATTTCTCTTTCACTACATCAGATAGGATTTTCAAAGAAGATTGTAAAACCGTCCAAGTGTATGAAGCAAGGACGAAGGAAATCGTGGCTGCCGCCGTTCGTGGATTCAACGGTAAAATCATAAATTAGTCAATTGGTCTGATGGGTTTAGCTGATTTGCTCTCAGCTATTCGATTTTCGATTCGTCTAATCCATATTTGTTGGTATCAAGGAACCGTGTTTGCTTACGGGCAAACAAACAGTGGCAAGACACATACAATGCGAGGCTCACCTATTGAACCAGGAGTCATCCCTCTTGCTGTTCATGATTTGTTTGACACTATTTATCAGGTTCACCCCAAAATTCTATTACCATATCTGTTTCTGTGTTTGTACTTTTTTTGTTGGTATTTGTGGAAAGTTAACGAATCAAGGATCAACGGTTTTTCTTTTCTTTCACCCACCCAAGGATGCAAGCAGGGAGTTTCTGCTGCGTATGTCTTACCTGGAGATCTATAACGAAGAAATAAACGATCTATTGGCTCCTGAGCACCGAAAGCTACAGATTCATGAAAATCTAGAGGTACGTATACGTCTTCTTACAATCCCCTTTTAACAAATTTCTAGCGATTCTGATGTGTGTTTCCAACCTTAATGTTTTAGAAAGGAATATTTGTTGCTGGACTACGAGAAGAAATTGTCGCTTCTCCTCAACAAGTCCTTGAAATGATGGAATTTGGAGAATGTACGTTCTGTTCTCTTCACATTATTCTTCTTCATTTTGTGTTTTCTTAATCTTTGCACATGCATTTGTATGTATTTCCCAGTATTAGTCTTCGGCCTCAATCTTGGTTTTGCTATAACTGATTTAGTGAATGGGTTTCATTTGTCTTTGGAATAAAATTTCAGCTCATCGGCATATCGGGGAGACAAATATGAATCTTTACAGCAGTAGATCTCACACTATCTTCCGCATGGTAAAATTTTTATATACTTAACCTTAGTACGCAATTAAGTGTAGGCTAAAATTTAACTTGCCGGCTATTTCATCAAACAGATTATAGAAAGTAGACAGAAGACGCAAGATGAAGGTGTTGGAAATGCCTGTGATGCAGTCCGTGTTTCTGTTCTGGTATTATCTGTTGGAACTAGTGTTTTTGTCCCTTTATATTCCACATATTATTTGTGATTCATCTTTCTTTTCACTTGTAGAATTTGGTGGATCTAGCTGGTTCAGAACGGGCTGCAAAAACTGGTGCTGAGGGTGTTAGGCTGAAGGAGGGCTCACATATAAACAAAAGTTTGATGACACTCGGGACTGTAATTAAAAAACTGAGTGAAGGAGTTGAAAATCAAGGGTAAGTTATTTTTGTTTGGCCTAGTTTGGTTAGGAAGAAAAACCTTATTGTACATACGCATTATGTGTATCATCTTATTAGCATTTTCTTTGGTGACGTAGTGGTCATGTTCCGTACCGAGACAGCAAGCTTACAAGGATCTTGCAACCCGCTTTAGGTGGAAATGCTAATACAGCTATCATTTGCAACATCACACTTGCACAGGTATGAACTAATCACCAAGTTTCAATTTTCTCTTTGTTTGCTTTTGTACAACTAACAATGTTATTTTCGTTTGATGTTAGATTCATGCTGATGAAACCAAGAGCAGTCTTCAATTTGCTAGCCGGGCACTGCGTGTCACTAACTGTGCGCATGTCAATGAAGTAGGGTCCAAAAAT